TCTGAGGGTTCTGTGGTCCCAGCATGCTTTGTCAATACCTCACATTTCTGTTTTAATCTGCAGCCGGTCTCACTATCATGGTCTCACTATCTTCGAGGCTCCCATCTTATGTATTTTGGGATGTGTAACATTGTAAACATTTCCCATGAGATTCATAACTAAAGTGTTCCAATAATTAAAAAAAAACTTCCTTTCAAAGACAAGATTATATGAATTTAGAGTTAAGCCAACAGGCCCCCAGTTTCTTCTATATGAACAGGAAGTGAAGATTTGTAGCATGTGTCTCAGGATGGCAGCCTTCAGAAAGTACTCGTTGTGTTAAAATTTTGTGATGGGAAAATGCCCGGTTTACCTGGTTGATCTGTCCACACAGCACTTTAATAGACACCTGCTGTGCAAACCACTGTGCTAAGTGCTGTGACCCTCTTTCATCTGTACATTTTCCTGTTTAATCTTTGCAACAGCTGTGTGCTTTTCACTAAAGGAACCGTGTTTACAGAGGCTTAAGCTTGCCAGGTTCTTCACTGTGAACACAAGACATAGTGCCCTCTTGGAATCTATAATCTAGTTGAGGAGGGAGGTCCTGGGTAATGATAGCCTAAGGTATGTGTCATCATAGACATACATTAACCCAGTGTGACTCCCACAGGAAGCTCCGGGAAAGCCTTTAAGGAATGAATAGAACTCTGAAAGGTAAATGCTGGGCTGTGAGAAGGTAAGGGGAGATGGAAGAGAAATGTAAAATAAAGGGGGAAGATTCATAGAGGCACAGGAATAGATAGTGCCCGGTGGAGCCAGAGAACACAAGGAGTGATAGGCGACAGGAGATGCCCCTGGGTCACAGGTTAAAGATAAGATTGGGCTACCAAATCAGTTTCCTCTATGAGATAGATTTCTATTTTAAGAAATGCTGTCTGGGAGCTGGAAAGATGGCTCAGTGATTAAGAACATATACTGCTCCTGCAGAGGACCTGAGTTTGGGCCAGCCTACATCCAGGGGATTGGATGTCTCTGGCCTCCACAGGCACCTGTACTCACATGCACTCACACATACATGCATACATACATGCATACATACATACATACTACATACACACACATATAATTTAAAATAAAATACATGTTTAAAAAGGAAGAAACACTTTCTGTAGCTTTGCACAAATCTCTGACTGGGCTGAAGTACGGAGGGTGGGATAAAGTTCAATGTCACTGCCCGGGCCTCAGGAACATGTGCACTGGACATCTTCCAAGGGAAGAGAGGAATTTCACTTCCCATCATGATTATTCTTGTACCTATTTCCTTGGAAAATAAGATAGGATACTCTGCTGGACCAGAAGGTTTCATTGTCATTTTCATTGTTATTTTTGTTGATTGATTGGCCTGTTTTTCATCTGGCACTAAAATGGAATCTTTGATCCATTAGAAAGATGTAAGCCTAGTGATGGAGTGAAGAAAGTTCAGGAGGTGGATGTGGTGATGGTGTGGACTGGGTTGAGGGGGGCTGCCTTCAGCTCACACTGCTGGGGAAGTGTGAACACGTGTGGGAAGTTAGCAGTAGCTCTAACGGATAGGTCTGTGTTGGGTGGGGAGACAGCAATAATGCCTGAGTTTTAAATCTAAGTAGCTCTGAGAATGGTGGCCCCCCTATGAGAAATTAGGCAGTGATCTAAGAAGAAAAGTGGTAAGCTCATTTGAAACAGTTTGAACTGGAAGTAGTAAACCTTTCACAAAGAAATACTCAAAAACTGTTCCAGCACCAGACCTGGTATTCAGAAGAGAATAGGAAAGGCTGCAACTGTGTCTGGTGGTTGCCTCTGCAGAAGAGCTGACCCAGGGCAGGCCTCTGGTGAAGTAAAGGGAGGAAGCTGTTCAGAGAGGCAAAGGGCAAGGGAATCATAGCCATATGCCAAGCCAGAGAAGTGAAGAGAGGGCAGGAGGAGGGTGAAGAAGTGTTTGCTGTAAAGGCCCTTGTCTCTGACAGACTCCCTGACCTCCCAGCTCCGGTCCATCCAGAACACCCTGGCTTCTGCTGGGCTTGTGCACAGATGACTTTGGAAACAGCTCCTTGCCTGTGTGTTGCTTGGATATCAGTGTGCTCTCCAGGTTCACGCCCTACAATCGAAGACTGGGGGACAGAAAAAGGGACCTGGGGAACCCTGAGGGGTTTCAGGAGTGTTGGGAGTCTAAACTGTAAGATATGTGAAACAAGAGGGTGATGGGAAATGAGAGAGGCCCATATTGATGGCAGATGATATAAATTTGGAGAGGGTGTTAAAAAGGTGAATTCTAAACTCTAGGGTTAGAAATTTGAAAGTGCACCCCCATGCCTCCACCCCCTAAGATAGGGTCACCCTCTGTACCTAGGGTGCCTGGAACTCACTGTGTAGCCCAGGCTGATCCTGACCAGCTCCCCATCTCAGCTTCTAGAGTGCTGGGCTTACAGGTGTGAACTACTATGTGTGCCGTGAACTTGTCCTTACACTGCCATGAAGGCCAGCATTCAGGAGAGAATGAAGACAGTTGAGAGGACAGTGTAGCCACTGCCAATGGGCTCAAGAAGTGACCGAGGCTACAGGGGAGCTGTCTCTTGGTGGGGGGCATAGAACAACAGGACACTCACAGAGGCAGACTTGATGACAGCTATGAGGAAGGAAACCACGACCCAATAAGAAAAATTGCTGACTCTAACTTCTAACCCTGCTGTTTATCAGCTGTGTGACCTGTGGTGAGTGACAATATTTCTTAAGGCCTCAACTTCCTTTTTGGTAAGATGGAAGCGTTACCTTCCAATAACTGTATGTAACTGTCCCACTTGTGGGTTTTTGGTTTCTTTCTTTCTTTTTCTTTTGTCTTTTGTCTTTCTTTCTTTCTTTCTTTTTTTTTTTTTTTGGTGGTGGTGGTTGTATTGTTTTTTGGGGGTGAAAAGTGCTTTGAGGAGCTGTTTTGTTCTCTTCACCTGGTAGAACTGAATAACTGCAATCTAATCTTCACAAACCCAGGAGGTAGATTTCACTGGAGTAGGAGGTGGGATCCCATTGTCCCAAGAAACCAGGAAAAGGTATGTGGAAGTGTTGGTCATGGACAGCGACATTAAGTGAGTAACACTAACCTAATGACATTAAATATTAAATGAATGACATTAACTTAAATGAATAAAAGCATTTGTGCACCCCACCGTCACTCAGGTCTCTAGGCGTCGGGAAGGATTTCTGGAGGGCTCTGGGTCACGTTTGAATAGGTGTTGGGCCATGTGCCCCTAGCTTCCCTTCCTGAACCGTCCTTCTACCTTAGGGCTTCTAAGAGAAGACCTGGCCACCCCGAGGATCTGTGCACCCTTAGAGCTAGTTAGATCCAGTTAAGAGTATAGGCAGGTGAACTCTTAGGGGTCTCTACCCACAGATTAGTAGCCTGGGATCAGTTTGGAAAGCCTGGGTGTGAGGATGTGCTTGTTCATCCGGCGTACTTTCTATGCCTGGCCAGCTCTCCTAGTGCAGCTTGGCAAGAATTTGGCTTTCATCTCCTGCCCATCTCATGACCTCCGCTTTTTTCAAAACTTGCTGAGTGTGTTGAGGCCCCGCCCTTCCCGAGCCCAGCCCGAGGCCGCCCCTAGCGCCTTCCCAGCCCACTCCCGCTGCTTCCCGGAGGTGCCAGAGGAGCAGATTGTGGCCCATGGGGCCCTCGGTGCTGCCAGCCTGGCTGCAGCCCAGGTAGGGCGCGGGGCTGCGGGGAGGGAGGGGCCAGGGAGCTGGGCAGCAACCCACCCATTGGCTTTCACTCCCGCGAAGCTCCTGACTCTGTTCAACACTTACTGCTCCTCCTGCCTAGTCTTAGTGGATTGCGTTTTCTCCTCCATAGACTCAGGACCGAGGCTTTGCTGTTTCCTTTTTTTTTTTTTTTTTCAGTTTTGGAGATGAGGAACTGGAAGGGCAGGCTGCATGGCTATCTCTTCTCTTTGTGTGCTCCCACAAGTCCTTTTCTTCCTTGTCCCCACTGCGCCCTAGACTTGGGCGCAGGGCGATTTTTACAGCATCCTGTCGCAGCAGCGTCTGTCACAGGACAGGTTCCAGGGAAACCAGGGCCTGGGTTGTGTGTTTACCTGAAGCCAGGTGTTTCTATTGGGCTTGGAGTTTTCCCGGTTTAACTCCTATAACAGTGTGGGTCATCTGTTGACTGCTTCGTAGTGTTGCTTATATACCTTGTTTCTCAGAGGTTTCCTACTAAGAGAAGCCATTGTTAACACTAACAAGGCCACTCTACCCATCCTTGTGCACATCGGGAAGCCCTTGTGCACATCGGGAAGCCCTTCATCTCCTTTTCCGGCTCCTCAAACCAAGGATCCGCCAATCCTTTCTCTTTCTTTATTTTTGTATTAAGTTCAGTTTACATCCTGGTTGTCCTCTCCCCACACATATTTTTACACTCAGTTTGACTTCCTTTTTTTTTTTTTTTTTTTGGCTGAGCAACTAAACTGCTTTCTATGTGCATTTGATGGACAGAATTAGCTTCCCTTGTAAAACACAACAGGAGCCAAGGGCAAGAAGAACGAGTGCAACCCCGATCACAAAGTCAGGTGTGTTCAGCTAAGGAGTCACAAAACAGTTGTGATCACTCCCCTTTGATAACTTTAAGCCAGCTCTTTAAAGTTTTCAAGTTTTGCAAGCTGCCCAAATCAGTCCTTTTGCATGCATGTTTCTTCCCTGTCCCCTTCAAATTTCGAAGCTATTCTCATAGTGGCTGAACGTGTAAGAGAAACAAGGTTAGAATGTTATCAAAGATGAGAATGAAGTTTAGAGAAGAACTACCTTTGGTTTTAAGCATTTTCAATCAGCATACTTTTGTTAGATAAATTCATCTCATCAGATTCTAGTGGGTTTGGAGGGACAAACCAGTGAAAGACCCTAATCCAGAACTCTGACCTGGAACAGTTTCCTTTTGCTTGCTCAGTTTGACTGGCACGTTAAAAGATGTGTTTAATGACATTTTTTCTGTGTTTATAGGTATAGGAAGAATGTGTATCTTTTCATCTATTACTTAATTCAGTTCTGTGGCCACTCATGGATACTGGCAAATATGACAGTCAGGTTCTTCTCATTTGGGAAAGGTAAACACTCCAAAACGTTTTGATGTTTAACTTTTATTCCTGGATTCATCTGGCCTCGCTGATTTTCATTTTGAACTTATGTGAACTCTGCATCTGGCACCATTCTCTTCTCTGGAGTTTGTTTTTTCCATTTTTTTTCATATTATTTCATTTATCTCATATTATTTCAGACTTAAACCTTTTTAGAACAGGGCAAAGGTGAGATAAGGTGAGAGGGAACCTGTCTTACCCCAGAGCCAGCAGTTTGCTCTGAAATCAAAGACCTATCTTTGGAATGTTCTGCACCAAACTCATAAATTAAATGCATTTTGAAAAATCTATAAGTTCCAGCCTGACATTCTGTGCAGAGCAGTGAGAAATTAATGAAATTCTTCTACTACTTTTTATTACCAGGTTTAGAGTAGCTGGAGATTGCCAGTAACTGAATGACAAATTTTATGTCCCCAAGACTCTGTTTGATCCTTTAAGAAGACAAGTACATGACACAGCACACCCGTGACTAGTCACCTACATGGAGCTGGTATATTGATGACTTGAATCATAAGCTTCCTTCAGTTTCCTAAAAAGTCAAGAATTCACCATTTAAACTATTCACTTCAGATTGTTAAAGAATGACTCACCAAGTGACTGTGAAAACAACCGTGTCCCATCCCCACATGAGTAAGTGTCATCACAGTTTACAACTGTTTGGTGACTTGACAATTTGAGCAACTGCTGGTTTAGCTAAAAACAAACACGAGCATGGCTGGAAAAAAAAAACATGCTGAGCTCATCAGTTGAGACTTGTCATACTCATCTAGTGGGCTGCTACAAACTATCCTGTGTTTCCCAGTCTTACTGAAAATCTATACATTCTTGCCTTTGCTAATAATCTCAGAGCTATAGCAGAAGGCTTGAATGTCGACTATGAGAACCGAATTTTCAAGCAGAGGGAGACTGAGATATAAGAGGATACAAGAGGGAGGAGGCCATCAGTTCTGTACCTTGAATGTTTGGTTAGGTTGAGTGAGCAGACAGCAGCCTCATTTACATCCCAGGCCCCAGGCAGGAATTCTAATGTGACCTTATACCTCAAGTGGGCAAAGTGGCTTTAGCCACCTTGTCTCATCACTGTAAATGTAGCAGCTACTTGCAAGTAGATAAACAGAACTGGTCTGTTCATTGGAAATGAAGCCTGAGAATAGTGGAATGGGAGACCAGTTCCATTCTCTAAGCCAGTGGCTCTCAACCTTAATGCTGGAACCCTTTAATACAGTTCCTCATGTTGTGGTGTCACCCCCCCCACACACACACACATACACACCATAAAATTATTTCATTGCTACTTCATAACTGTAATATTTCTAGTTATGTATCTTAATGTGAATATTTGATATGCAGGATATCTTCAGGATATATGACCCCTGTGAAAGGTTGAGTGACCCCTGCAAGGGGTTTGTAGTCCACAGGTTGAGAAGCTCCTCTAGGCAATGACTCAGGTTGACCGAGAGCAACAGATCCTTGAACTTATGTTCAAAAGTGGTGGTAAAAACAGAAAAATCACCCTTAGAAGTCTCCAAATGGGGCAGGATTTTATTGAAGATCTTAAAGTTTGCCATCAGAGGATCATCTGTCCCCTTCTATTTCACGTCCCTCTAAGGGGAATACCTCAGTCATGTCTTCTCACAATGCCAACTCCAAAGTTCAGTGCTCAAAATAAAGCCAGAGTCACTAGTCCAGTACGTGTACAGGACTCAAGCACGAGCAAACGTGGTGTGCGACATCACAGCGTCACAGTGTCATTTCCACAAAATTTCTTTGAAATCAGTTTTCTCGTTGCCTTTTTTTCTCAATGAAAATGCTGAACCCAGCAGATTTTTAGTAACTTCACCCCCAAACTATCTACATGTCAAGGGGTTTAGATTCTGATGGATTATGTTTGTGTAAGAATTTCCTGAGAATCTCATATATTGGGAAAAAGTATAACAACCCTGGCCATGAAGACTTTGTAAATTTCCATTCTTTTTGGAAGAGGACCAATTAAAAAGAACTATACATACATTCTTGTGAGTACCACAGTACTTTCTAGGGATATATCGCATTGCTACAATTTAGTAGCTTATTTAAAATTTTTTTTTGCACATACAATAAAGGCATTTCAGCTGTATTTCACTGTACTTTGCAAATGTGTATTCGGATGCAGTTTTGACTCACAATGTCTGTATTTGTCCTTCACTAACACAGATTCAATGGTCGACACGTTTTACGCAATTGGGTTGGTTATGCGGGTTTGCCAATTCATTTCCCTCTTGGAGCTACTGCATATTTATATTGGCATTGAGTCAAATCAGCTTTTCCCAAGGTTTTTGCAGGTAAGTTTAATCATGCTGTTATTGTAGAGTCTATTTAATTTTTTACTTTGTCCTATTTACAGCCCCTAAGTGATTTTATGGCAGAATTTGTTCACAGGATTCCCTTACCTAAACCACAACAGTTAGAATGGCCCATTGGCAGTGTTTGGGAAGTGCCACTGGCTAGCTTGCTCAGTGTCCTGTTCTGGAGATCCCATGGCCATTGACCACTCTGCATGTGTCTCTCTCTGAAGCAGATTAGACAGGGAAAAGGATCAGAGTTGAAGTCTTTTAGGTGATGCCAGGCTGTTCCACGGACCACTGTGAAGTTATACTACAACTACCACTGGCTCTTGATGGGAAAGTATAGGGGATTAAAACAAAACAAGTGTTTAACAGCAGGCTGACAGGAGATTGGAAATTCACTGGTATATAGGTAATCAGTGCTAGATTAGGATTAATATTTGCTAGACTAATATTAGGACTAATATAATGCTAGATTAGAACTAAATATTTTAGATGGTATTTTCCATGAAAAAGACAAGATAAGGCTTAAGTTACTACATGGATCTATATTTGTAAAACTCCAGGATTTGGAATACCCATCAGGATGAGCATAATTTTAGGTATCCTCAAACAAAATCTGAAAACAAACTATTTCCTAAAATATCAGAATCTTAATGTATTTAAATACCTGACAAAGTTCTTGGAATGTACATACAGAGCTTAAAACATGTTGGGTGTAGGGTTCTAGATCCCTGTGTTCAAGTAACGGTTTAATCTTTGTGTATCTAGTAAGAGCCCAGCACTCTAAACATTAACAGATCTATAGAAGGGTAGGCAAGAATGGGTCAGCAAGATGGCTGAGTAAGGACATTTGCCATTGAGCATGATGACCTGAGTTTAATTTCTGGAACTCACACTGTGGAGGGAAAGGATTAACTCCTACAGTTGCCCTCTGACAACCACACGAGAGAATGTGGGGGCATGTGCATGTGTGTGGATGCACACAGACACACAAACACATACACAGACATGAATGTTTTAAAAGGTATGGGGTAGATTTCATTTTACTTATTAAACAAAATAGGGAAGCACTATTCATTAGAAAGAAGGCATTCCATGTGTTGAAATATCAAGTATTAAAAAATAGAGGTAATAAGTACAATGTAGTTATATTAGAATTAACCAACGTAGAGCTCATAGCATCTCCTTAGACATGTTACTTTACAAACTAAAGAGGGAAACAGATTGGTCATAGAAGCAGTAAATAATTTAGAAATAAGATTTATTGGTATTTCTGGCTGAATGGGTCTGCTGTACTTTGAAAATGTCAAAATGTGTCCAGCATTATGCTACTTTTGGAAAGCAGAACTAAAAAGACTCAGAGCACATGAAAGCGGCATCCCATCATATGGATTATTCACTAGAAGCTGAATTAAGTTCATATAAAATCTGAGTCATGTTATCACTTTCACTCTTCCTTAAAGGACTCTTTTTTTCTGACTTGGCTATTACTAATTTCTTGGTAACAAAGCATTTTCAGAAGGAAAGCTTGTGTTAGTTTAGCTGTTGTTAATGTACACTGTGAAATTAAAGAAGTTTATCTTGTTAGTAAGAAAACTGAGAGCTTAAAATATCCCTAGAAAATGCACATATATTGCTTGTATGACAGAATTAGCTAGACTTGTCTGATATGCAAAATTATTCTAGAGCTGAGACATCTGAATGTTTGGGAGGTGTACAAATTCCAGAGCATTCAAGTGTGATTTTTTTTTAATCACTACTAATTAAATCCTTGAATCACTGAAATCATTAAATCATTGAAACCAAAGAAACGATTCCTGATTTGGTTACTTAAAAACAATAGTAAATACACATGCAGATATATTTATTTAAAAAGTGATTTTACTAAGTCCAGTGCTAACGGAGCACAATTCTCTTTAAATCTTTGGTTCTGGGGAAGGACAAGCAAGGATCAGGGTACCAGGGTCGAGGATGAGCATCCCGGGCTATGTATATCCCAGATGATGAGCACAGTCTGTTTGACATTCCTATCCATCTTCCTCTTTTACTTGAGGTTGTAACTGCCAACTTGAGGTTGGACTGGGATTGGAAAGCCTTTATAAAGGCATCACAGTCAACTCCCATTTTCTGTGCCTTTTCCTATTCAAGTTCTACCGACAATTAGAATCCCTTCATTAGGGGACGATCCCAAGTACTCTGCTTAAAAATAATGTAACAAAACCCTAGGTTGTGAAATCATTTGTGGTGCTCTCTCATTTCCCCATTTTTAAATGAAGAAATGGTACTTAGAGCAGCTGAGTTATTTACACTGATTATGGCTGACTGCATGCAATATTTTTAAAAAATGCATTGTATCCTCCTGCTTCAAAGAAGACTAAAGCTATGTTTGCAGAGTTGTAATGTTACTATGATATTACCTTCACAGCATTGCAAAGCCACAACAGAATGCATTCTTTTGAAAACAGATTTTCTGAAATGTCAAGATAAATAATTCACAGCTAGCATGAACAATGGATTAGGGTTAGCTAGTTGAACAACTAATGTAACATCTGGCAAGCACTGGCGCCGAGGGAATGAGGGTAGATTTGGGTTTGTTCATTGTCCTGAGATATTACATGTTTTACACTCACATATCTGACAATAAGCAATAAACTATAATTTTAAAAATTATATGCAATTGCTCAAACAAAAAAGCAGAGAAAACACACACTATAAGACAGTAGTTATTTAACAGACATCTATATTTTATTTTTAAATTACTTACGAGGAAAATCTAAAACTATAACACAAAAAGCTGTTTATAGATATCCATTGCTTATAATAATCATATGTCATTTAAATTATATGCAGAAACATAACCTAGAGCTTAACACTTAAATTATACATAGAAATAGAACATAGAGCTTTGCTTTCTTAGTTTCAAGTGGGAATCTTCAAGACACAAAAGAAGCATGCTAAAAACGACAATACAAATGAAAGCTACGTGTTTTCCCTTTCCAGCCTTTTCCTTCCAATCAAATTTGCGTATTTCATTACATCATTTTTTAATAAGAGTTAATTGGGACTAGTTGATTTTGATAAATTTCGCTAAAGAAAGCCAAAACCCCGACAACTTGACCATTGTAGAATGGGAATACAGCCACACCTGAGGGTTGAATTTGAAGCCTTTGTTGAGTCTTCAGAAAGCCTTTGCAGAAGCCTCAGAAGCTGTTCTTGACAAAAGTTAAAGAAAGGAGGAAACAACCCCAGATGCCTTTTGTCCCACAGTGCTTGACAGGTTCACCTTGTAGGAAACTCTCAGAGGAATAGAGTTCAGCTGACTACAGCTACAAGTGGTTTGAGCTTCAACTTACAAAATCTGTAAATCAAAACACTACAGATGATTTCCTCCAATTACCATGCCTGCATAGGTTCCACTCATGATATTTAAGTGCACAAAGACACCTCTGTATAAACCAATGTCACCAGCTCTTTCTCCTGTTTGTGTTGAAGGCAAGGAAGGCACCTCAAAGGAGAGTGTCTAACTCCCTTGTGAGAGGACAGTGGTTTCCAGTCTGCTTTTTCCAGGCTGTGAAACAGCTAATTTTGACTGCTAAATGAAGTCATCTTTGAACTTTCATAAAAATCTCACAGATTTTTCTCTCTGTAGGCCTTGAGTTGAGAACAGGTTTTTATTACTAGAGATGAAGCTGCTGATGTGTTGAGCATGCACAGTTTACTGGAAGGGAACGTCAGGGTCTTTAGGTCTTGTCATTTTGATTCATGGAGTTCTTCAGTGAATAGGTGCAAAGCTATCATCTTTATAGTGTGATTTTACAAATGCAGAATGGCTTTTAAAAATCCACTGAGAGTCTTCATTATCTTGGCAGAAAAATGTCTGGCAAACAATATTTCCAACAGATCTGGAATCGAACTCTGGAAGTATGACTTGGAGTACTATGATCTAAACACTCTCAGACCGTCTCATTTTTGTCATGTTGGTGGCCACTCCCAAACCATACACTCACACCACACTCCATACCTCTCTGTTCCACAGTTAATGAACATTTACAGTAAGACAGGTATGGTGGTATCCATCTCTAGTCCCAGTGCTGGGCAGGTGGAGAAAGGAGGAGCCCTGGATCATACTGATCAATGGTCTCAATGAACCAGTGAGATCTGGGTACCACAAAAAGACCTGCCTTAAAGAAAGTGGACAGGAATAGAAAACAACCCTGGAGATCAACTTCTGGCTCCACACACCTGTTCACACATGTGTACATATATCTCCTCACATTCAAACATGTATACATGCACACACGAATACATGTTTTATGTTTTTTTAAATATTAGTAAGATGTAAAATAGTTATGATTTTGGTAAAATAGTAATTTTGAGATTGAAACTTAATGAGTTGAGAAATTCTTCCCACAGTCAGGGTACTGTTCTTATCCTTCCAGTTTTTCCTATTTCTTAAATTAAAAAAATATTGTTTATAGTTTCATACATTTCTTAATGACTTTTGGGCATTTTATGCCCCCTTTCCATCCTGCTAGAAGGGTCTTCTCAACACTCCCCACCCCCCACCTTCATGCCTTCTTTTGTGTATGACCACTCAGTTTATTTGGAATTTCTTGCTGAAGCCACCCCTGCTCAGGCAAGATACCCTTCACTTTTATAAAGTACCTTCTCATTTAACAATGTAACTTGTCATTTTTAAAAATTAAATATATATGTGCTGCTTGTACATGTAGAAGTCAGATGGCAGGGTTGAGGAGTCAGTTTCCTCTTTACAACTCTATGGGATTTCAGGATTGCATACTCCCTGGCAAGCGCCATGATCTGCTGAGACATCTAGCCAGCTGTAGAAACTCCTTCAAAGGACAGACCATTGTCTGGATGTTAGGTTCTGGAGTAGCCCCCAACCTGGTAAAGATTAAAAGGCTCTAGTGTTTCAAAATGCAGGACTTAGAGTCATTGTCTAGATTTTGATTCCAGACGGGAAGGAAGTCATTATCACCTAGGAAAACACGTGCTTTTGTGTAAAAGCAAATAAATAGTAACAGTATCTTCTTAGTGTTATTTTGGAGAATAGATACAAAATTATAAATTTTGAAACTGGCAGAAAATAATAAGTATTAACTTTTATCAACTTACTATCTATAACAAAATTTCTCTATTTTGCCATTACTGAATATAGTTAAATACCCATCAGATAATGAATTAGATTGACATTTCATGTGGCGGGAATAATCCTATTTCTGTATACATGCTGTCACTTGGGGGCATTTACACTGCTGATTTCTATGCAACTAGGGACTCTGTCACCAAGGAGTCACCGAGCCTTCACTGATGTTTTCAAACAGTTTCATCATATAGTCCCAGCCTCACTGATAGATTGTCCTCTGTCCTCAGCATTTAAAAGGCAGAGTAAAATCTACCAGGGAGGCTGAATCTCAAAATACTTTGATTAATGCCTAAAACTCAGAGAACTTATGTTTTGCAAACTAACAAAAAACAAAAACAAAACAAAACAACAAAAAACCAAAATAAAAAAGAAAACCTCAGGAAACACACACACATGGATGCATATAGCATAATTTCTAATCTCATGGTTGAGTACTTTAAAACTTTAGGTCGATAGGATCCCTCTACATAGAATACTGTAATCCGAGCCCAACCCAAGTCTGTCTTGGATGAAAGCTGGAAACCAGAGAACTTAAACCTATGATCATAGCATGGGTGACTAGGAAGCACTGGTCTCCTAGCCACCAGATTTGTAAGCACCATGATGAGCTGGTACCTGAGTATTTGTGAGATGCTCAAGTCTTACATCCAAAAGCTACCAGGAGCCATGCCAGCCAGGTTGGATTATTCAGTTACTTAAATTGCAGTTTAGATGAATTTATATAAGCTGAATCAAGAAACTAGATCAGTGTATCTTAAAGAAGGATTGATGAAGGGAAAGAGCTCCATGCATAACTGACATAGACTGACTAAGTTTGAATCATGTCTAATTCCCCTTAGCCATGCAGGGGCCCTCTTGACTCACCTCCGCAGTCATGAACGCGCTGACATAGCGTGTATGTGTGGATTTCTGATCATGTGGACTGCTGTTGACAAATCTTGGGTTTTTTTTTTTTTTAAAAAAAAAAAAAACACTAAAAGCCCATGATTCTGTTGTGGATTATCCCAGGATTTTTTTCCTTAATCAGCTTAAAAAAAAAAAAGACGGCTATACAAAATACAAATCAACCCCTTTGTGTTTTCTTTTCCTTTGCCACTAATATACTCCATCAATCTCAAGTTCACGTTTTTTGGCCACTGAGAGCAAAGAGAAATTCCCTATTAAGCACAAAAATGTAGCCTGTGCAGGCTGTTCAAGTATAACACAAGGCACTTCATACTGTGTAGGGAAAGAGGACTGTGTTTTATTTAAGCTGGTCATTGGAACTAAGCCAAAATATGTGAGCTTTCAATGATCTTTAAATGTTTATAACTTGGCATATATAACATATATTCCAAGAATGTGTGAAATTCTTTTTCTATTTTCCACTAGCTTAGGAGGGTTAATACTATATTACTGCCCTGGGGGAAAAAAAAGTCACAGTGGCTTCTCTATTGGCTAAAATTGAAATTCCCTGGCCTGTCATTCAAAACCCTTCATAACCCAGCCCCAAACGCATCTTCATTTACTTTCCCTGTTTTTCCGTCTGCACACCGCCCACTCGAGCCTCTCTGCGGCTCACTCCTCCCCAGGGCAGTGTACATCGTCACCCTGCTACTTCTGCTGAGACGGCTATTGTCTGGGATGTCTTTCCTCTTATCTACTAGATAACTCCAGTCCATCGAGCAGAAGCCAGCTGCAATGCTGCTTGTCCTCACGGACCTCTCTTCATCCTTCTCTCTGGCAGCAAGTGGCTCCTTCCTTAATGATGCTTCCCTCTGCAGCACAGACTGTAACTACATCCCCCAACACTAACTCTGAAGGCAGGACCACTTTTACTGTGCCATCTAACCCAGTGGTTCTCAACCTTCCTAATGCTGCAACTCTTTAATATGGTTCTTCATGTTGTGGTGACTCCCAACCATAAATTTATTTTTGTAGCTATTTACTAACTGTAATTCTCTGACTGATGTGAATTGTAATGTAAATATCTGTGTTTTCTTATGATCTTAAGTGACCCCTGTGAATGGTTGTTTGACCCTCCCCAAAGGAGTCATGACCTGCAGATTGAGAACTACTGATCTAACTCATAGTGGACATTCAAGTAGGAGCTTGTCAAAGTGAATAGAAGTGTGTATATGTCAAGAAGAGAAAAAATATCTTGACTTAGGTAAAATGCTTCCTTTGTTTCATTATATATAATTATAAAAGTACAGGAAAACAAACAAAATTAAAGTCATTCATAACACAACCCTTTCAGAGACAGCCACTGTTAATAGGTTATAAAATGTATTTCCAGTTAAAGCGTCTTTTAAACAAAGCCCCATTTTTTAAAATTAGAAAATTACTTAAATGGCCTAACAGATGACTTTAATTCTTAACTTGTTTTTTTTTTAAAGCTCACAGAGAGAGTTATTATCCTTTTTGGGGTGATCACCAGTCAAGAGGAAGTCCAAGAGAAATATGTAGTGTGTGTTTTATTCATCTTTTGGAATCTACTGGATATGGTGAGGTAAGTAAGCTAAATTGCTGGTCATGGTGGTACATACCTTTAATCTCAGAGGTAAGGATAGGTGAATCTCTGTGAGTTCAAGGCCAGCCTTGCCTCCATAGCTAATTCCAGGTCAGCCAGTACTACATAGTGAGACCTGTCTTAATCATCAATCAATCTGATAATACTGGTTACTATGTATGAGACAGAAAAACCTCACTGCATATTTTTCTATATTGAAATAGAAATGTATATGTAGGTCTTTCCATAGTAGGCATATGAAGAAAAATGAAAACCAATCTTCGTACTTCAAGTGAAAATTCGAGCCCTCAGGGTCCCTGCACAAGGTTTTGCCATGACACCGACCTGACAGCTATATACGAATGGAAGAAACTTTATCATTCTTCTAGCATGCATTATTTTAATAATGGACTTTTATTACTTGTCAGAACCCACAAAGTTGGCGTCATAGTTAGCCTCAGTTGTCAACTTGACACCTGGGAAAAGGGAAAACCTCATCCAAGGAATTGCCTCAATTTGATTGCCCTGTGGAGGCATTTTCTTATGGAGGCATTTTTGATGGAGGATGGTCCAGCCCACTGTGGGCCTGGAGGCAAGACAGTAAGTACCTTTGCTACTTACTGCTTCAGGTCCTGGCCTGACTTCCTTCAGTGATTCAGCAAGGGAATATGACCTGGGAGTCTTTCTTCCCCCAAACCATTGGTTTTGGTCAATGTTTTATTATAGCAACACAGGAGCAAACTACAACTTCTTTTCTCTGTGGAAAAATGTACCCCCCCCCATATCCATTTTTAGTGGAATCCAATGGCTAACTTAGTCCTTTTGTGGCATCCCTAGGAACTACTGCTGCTTCAAATATCTGCATGGGAGCATGCCCCAAAAGAGTCTTTATTTTGTGACTGATATTATATATTTTATTCTGATATTTTTATTCTATTGTCAATAACCTGACCAAGTTAAAATATAGCCTCAACAATAGGCTGAGTCCTAAAGATTATAAGCTATTTAATGTTTCAAAAATAGCATTTTATACTAGGACTTTTGTAGCCTCTGACTTCCTATTTATACAAGGCATTGGCATAGGGATCATAGCTTTCTTAAACATTAGAACATGAATCTGTCTACCTCAGTATCATTCTCAGATAAACTCAATAGAATAAAATGACTTTTGCATTAACAATGGTAATAAACTATCATGGGATGATTTGGGGACATAAAGGATACAGCAGGATGAAATCAACTTCCACTACTTACTTGATACATGATCTAGGACAAACTGTTTAAATTTCTGTAAATGGCTATTTTATTGAGATATAAGTTATCACCCATTACAAGGCTATGCCTATATGTGCACATCAGTCCCAATCTCCTCCTTCCCCAAGCCCTGGCAACCATATTCATACTATATGGGTTTTCCTATTTTGTGTTTCATATAAATGGAATCATCGAATAGGTGGTCTTTTGTCACCATCCCCTTTTTCCTTGGAATAATGTTCTCAATACAGTGTTGTAGCTTGTAATGGTATTTCATGGCATTTTGTGGCTGAATAATATGCCATTGTATCAACAAAACCCTGGATTATCCTCATAGTTGATGCACATTTGCATTGTTCCCATATTTTGGCAATAAGAAATACTGCCATGAGCACTCACACAAACTTCTGTTTCCCTTATAGCCAGTAGTAAGACCTCTGGGCTCTTCTTTCGATACTATTTCTCTCTCTGCAAAATGAGGGTAGACATGGCATCTCAATCTACTGTGAAATAGTTTAAAGAAAATAATGAGCCGAGATCTTAGTCATCAGCTAAAGGTGCCTGTGAAAAGATTACAACTAATGTGAAAGCTAATGATGAGACAGATTCTTTCCTCCTAAGAACACGATAAGGACATCCATGCTTCCCACTTTGTTCAACATTGTATTGGAATTCCTAGACACAGCAATTAGGAAAAAATGTAAAAGGCTTCCAGATGGTATAAAACTGTAAGTGACCAACAAGTTTAGCAGAGTTGCATAATGCAGCACAAGGTTCATACAAACCAGCTGCATTTCTATATATTTTCAGTGAGCTATCTGAAAATGAAAACTACAAAACCAACCCTGTTTACAGTAGCCTCCAACAGAATGGCAGACTCAGGAATACATTTTAGCAAACATAGGCAGACCTTGTACAGTAAGGACATTGATAAATGGAAGGGCATTCCACACTGGAACTTAATATTGTTCAGATGCCAATACTCACAAATAAATCTACAGACTTTGAAAGCCCTGTTAGAATCTCAACTGGTTTTATTGCAGTAATTGAGATGCTTATCTTAAAATTCACATAGAAATCTGAACTCCGATGAATCAAACTTTTATAAGAACACACTTGGTCTTATTCTTTTCAATTCAGAACTTACTACAGAGCAACAATAATTACAAGTGTGGTCCTACTCCATGGACAAGTCAGGGGATAGAGTTGACAGTTCAGAAATAACCTCTTCTAGTTTGGATTAAGTTTTGCAAAGGTCCCAAGAGATTCAATGGGGAAGGAATAATCTTCTCAATAAAAGATAATGGGACAACTGTATACTGCATGCAAAAGATCAAGGAACAAGGAACAAAAGAAAAACATAGATATTGAACTGTATTAGCGAGTTACTGTGATGGCTGATATTGTGAACTTGATTGGATTCCAAGAGCATTGGGTGTGCCTACAAAATTCCAGAGTTTAGCTGAGGAAGACCTCTCCTGAATGTGAGTTGTATCATCTCATGGGCTGGGATCCTGAATTGAAGAAAGAAGAGAGAAAGGAAAAGCAGTTTGTGAGTCAATAGGCTTTGTGGGTAATTCTGACATGTGTTGATGTGTAGAAACCACTGGCTTATTTATAGAAATAAAATCACATTGAAGACTTTGCACTAGCGGGTTTAAAGTTACTTACTGTACCTCAAACATGCTTCCAAGGCTAGTTCTGATTATGTAACAGGGCAAAGCTGCAGAAACAGAGGGATGGTAGATATGAATTTGTGGGTTGTGTTTTAATAACATCATCTTTTAAAATATGTGCAAATAGCTCTGTCTTTTCAAGAATCCTAGCTATTGCTGCATAAAATGAGCTTGGCTTTTTAAATAAAATTGAAGCCATTAATCACGGAAGCTTATAGCTGTAATTTCTTGGGAGGCGGTAAGAGCTACATTCTTGCTTTCTTCGGCTGTATAATTATCTATGATCCACCCCATGAGATAAGCTAGAGAGACACAGGTTTCCCCCCACAACAATACACCATTTTAACCCCTGTCCTTACTTAAATTATAGGAAATAAAGCATGTAATTCCTGCTTCCAATTTCATTCCGGCGTTTAATCTGTAGTAATGTATTTTCTTCTCTTATTTCCCAGACAGCAGCAGCAAATGATGCTTACTAACTATCTGTCTCCTTCTAGGTACACGTACAGCATGTTGTCAGTTATAGGGACATCCTATGCTGTCTTAACATGGCTTAGTCAAACACTGTGGATGCCAATTTACCCTCTGTGTGTTCTTGCTGAAGGTAAGAGTCATGTTGTATTTCTGACTGATATAAGCTATTGAGCTATAATCATTCACTAATTTTTGATAGGGAAATTGCTATTTTTTTATGGTTCTTGGCTTATTGATGATAAATTTCCCAATATATTTCCTTGCTTCAAAGAAGCAAACCATTAAGAAGCAAAGTTCGGTAGGGTGTGATGTGGTATACCTGTAACACTGGAGTCAGACAACAGGTCAGCCTGGTCTACACAGAGTTCCAGGCTAGACAAGGATATTGTCACAAAGACTGAGAGGAGAGAGAAGAAAGAAGCAGAGGGAAGAGTGGAGGAGAGAGAACATTAAAGTTCCAGGTAGAGGTGGTCCTACATATGGGGCTAGAAGCAAGCATCAAGGTCCAGGTACTTGCCTTCATTAACTATGAGTCTGGGGAATCTCATTTCACCCCTGAGTCAGTTTACATCCACAAATTTGGTTTAACATATACAGAATCTACAGTTTAATTTTTTTTAATACTTAGAAATTTGGTCATCCCTGGCTAGAGTGCTTCTTACCACCTCCAAAGCATAGTACCTCTGCCAGTGACCATTTGGCCACCATTCCATGAGTATCCACATTAAGAGGAAGCCTAAGCTAAAACAGTTCCCAGTCCAGCACCTCGGATTATTATTTATAGGGTACATCTCAGTTGCAACTAGACATCTGTAAGCTTCTTGATTGCATGTTCCTGATTAGACTAGTTCCATGTGCATACACCGGTGCCTGCTTCTTGCTTCCTTCCTTTCTCATGTGCACCAGTATACACACCCAACAAACAGGAGATCAACTATTGCCTGTACTAGTAAAGCAACAATGAAGGAACTAAAGTAAGCATTTTTTCAAAGGACTCGAGGCTAAGCAAAGAACAAACACTTCCCCCAGTAGAGGATTTGACAGGCTGCAGGGAGTTTCTTCTGAAAGTCATGATTAAAGATTTTAAATAATGCAAAAAACATGTTACAGTAACTACAGGAAAATGCAGACATTATAAAGGGTGCTGTTGCCAATAATTGCGACTATATAAAGACTAGTATACAAAAGAACACCATATGTTTTCAATATTTACTAATGGCTAGAAACAATAAGTCCGAATTTTAAGTTTTCTATTGTTTTGAAATGAATTGTTAAAATATACTATTTTCAGAAAAATCTAGAGAATGTTTTACGAACCATTAAAAATAAGAACAACAAAAAAATCCAGTCACCCATTATTTAAGAGTGAAATTCTTCATTCACTGAAGATTTGCTAAGAGTATTTCTTTGTCTTGTCCTATGGGAATACTATAAAGAACATATAAGGAATGGATGCTGGAGAGAGTATAATGTTTATATGAGGAGAAAAACAATTGTAAGGTATGTACAACAAAATAAGTACAGTCAATAATAGTGTACATTTCCAAAACAGTAAATTCAATTATCTCACTTTAAAAAACATGGAGATGTTGAATACTAGATTTTATCATTCAGCATTATATACATATATCAAAAGTCCATAAATGTATACTTTGTGATTTTTCAATTAAAACTATGTTAACAAAATAGTTAAATTTTTTCCCCAAAGACTGTATAATGGACTGTTTCCTTAAAAGTGAATAAATACCCAAGTGATTACTCCTGTGTCAGAATGCTCAAGACTTGGAGGCTGTTCTTGTTAACGGCGTGCTTGGTGTCCAGTGGAATACCACTCATCACAGATCTATCTTCCTCGGTTTCTGACTTTATCACATCGCAACACATTTTATTTTGAAATAAATAGGGAATAACTGTTTAAAAAAAAAACAGTGCATCAAGGAGTTCGAGAGATGGCTCAGCAGTTAAGAGCAGTGGCTACTCTTCTAGAGGATCTGGGTTTGGTTCTCAGCACCCATATGGTATCTAACAACTGTCTGTAACTTCAGCCTTAGATGATCCATCACCCTCTTTCAGCTTCCACAGGGACTGCATGCATGTAGTACACTTACACACATGCAGGCAAAACACTGATAGATGGAAGGCAAAAATCTAACTACCTTTTACTTCACTTTCCTTATGGCAGCAGTTTAGAGAACTATAGCATGCCATTTTACTGCATAGAATGCTATAAAAAAATCTATACATGTGATATAATTTTATGGATCCTCTTATGTAACTAACAGTAAACTAGCCTCCTCCCACAGAATAATTTGTTAGTATTTCTCACAGAGTTCCTCCAAATTTATATTAAGTACTTTTAGGGCTGAGAAGAAAGCAGGTATCCTAAGGCCAGTAATGGGTGACCCATTTCATTACTGCAGAGCTTCTCAGAGTCTTCACTATGTTAAACGTGTCATGCAACTCCAAGAAGAAAATAACATGCAGTGCTTTCCATCTTGACTGTCTCCCTATTTGTGAGCAAGGAGACAGATGTATTTTTAACTCATCATTTTAAGAAGCGCTATACAGTTTTGCCATGTAAGCATGAAATGTGTGGATTCAACCAATGGCACAGTGCACAATGTGCCACTGCTAGTGCACAATGCTAGAACAATTTCAGCCACATAATCGTGCCACAGATTTTTGTGTCAAGCTGAACCTTTAACTAAAGGATTCAGCAATCATCACAAAACTGTTATTGGCGATTCAAAATCCCCTACATTAGAAACACATGAAACCTATAGCTCTGTAATTCAGAAAGGGAATCTTTACGATGCTTTTTCTTTAAACAGCATTCACCATCTATCAGTCACTGCCTTATTTTGAGTCATTTGGCACAAACTCCACCATGCTTCCGTTTGACATATCCATCTATTTCCCTTACATGCTGAAGCTGTATCTCATGATGCTCTTCATAGGTAAGTGAATACTTTTGTTTGGCACTCTTCATGTGTGTGTTGGTTTATACTGTCATTGTCCTACACAGACTAGTAAATGGAGAGGAACTAAAGAGGAAGCCCGACACAGTCAACTAGATTGTCTGGTTAAGGCCCCTGGTGCTTTTTGTGGGGCATCACGAAACTAAGTATTACACAATTTCACTTCACAGCAAGAACAATGCTACCAGCAGAAAATATGCTTGCAAGATACATGAAATACAGACATCTTGACCATGAGGGCACAACCATTATATAAAATGGAAAACAGAAGGATTAGTTCTTTTCCCCCACTTATACCATAACATTTTGTTTTCTTTTTGGCTTTACATGCTATATGCTAGCATCCCTTGGCAGGCAAATAGGAAGTTGGTGATAAAGGCTCAAGAAAAACTTTAGAAAAGAACTTATAGTTGTAGGAAGTGGAGCGATGGCTCAGTACTTAAGAGCACTTTCTGTTCTTAAAGAGAACCTGGACATCCACATGGCAGCTGACAACCATCCATAATTCCAGTTCCAGGGAATCATACACAAGTATATAGGGCACATATACACATGTAGGTATATGCATACATGAAAAAGCTCTTTTAAAAACTTACACTTCAGCCATGCTTTATGACATATAACTTTAATCCCAGCACTTGGGAGGCAGAGGCAGATAGATCTCTGTAGTGAGTTGCAGGACAGGCAGGGCCACGTAGAGAGACACTGTCTCCAAAAGGAAACAAAACAACCCCCCCACCCCCCACCCCCCCCACAAACAGTTATACTCATGTGGTATTTCAAGATGCCTTTACAAGATGGATAAGTAGAGGCATCCAGCACTTTGCTGCACAAAGAAAACACAAAGCAATAGGTATGGAGCTGCATTTTGAGGTGAGTACAAGAAACTACTGGGCAAACCTAACGCACTGTAATATTATAAGACTTGGCATAGCAACAGATACAAAATTTCTGAGTGCTGCCATGCCATCTACACCACTAATTGTGGGGGAATCTCCTTCTGGCTAAGGGCGAATGAACAGAGTCCTAAAAAGCTGTGTTGGATACAGGGCATTGGAGAACTTGCCCTCTGAGACCGAGGTAGGGTCAGTAGAGTGTAGAATCATGGGAGTGTGAGGACCAACCATTCCTTCCCACAGATCCAAGCATGGGTGCCTGCCACTTACAGGATGAGACAAGACTTACCTGTGGTCTATTGCTTCTCTGACCACAGGAGTAAACTGCAGCAGCCCTGAGCAATGCTAAGGCTTCAGTTAGTGCTCTTGTCTACAGGGTACATACCCCAAGGAGGTCCACAAAAAAACTTAATCAGGTGCTGGCTGCACCCTGCTTTCATTTTTTTCCCCACAGACAAACAAAAGGCCACTAAGAAGTCCAAGGGTAACTTAAAATGTTCTTGAAACCAATGGAAATGCAGGATCCCAAACCTATGGAATATCTAAAAAAACAATACCAAGAATAATGAACAAAACCATTTTAAAAAGAAGTATTTCAAATAAACAACTTAATCATGCATCTTAAGTACTAAAAAAAGCAAGAATAAACCAAATCCCAAATGATTGTATGAAAAGAAATAAAAATCGGACTAGAAATAAAATATCAAATAACAAGTGCCAAAAAAGCCAAAACAAACAAACAAACAAACCTCGACCAACAAGTAACAAGGATTAATGAAACAAGCTAGTTGTTTACTTGAAAGGATAAAAGTGGATAAACCTTTCAGTTAGAATACCTCTAAAATACCTCCAAAAATAGAAGATACAAAGAAATCAAGTTAAAAATGTTAAAGGAGACATTACAATCCACAGCACAGAAATATAGATGATCAGTTGAAATTATTTTGAGAAACTACCTGTTAATAAATTGAAAAATCTGGAAGAAATGGAAATGGATATAAAAGACCTACCAAAATTCAACCAACAGAATATGGAAATTCAACAGGATATAGAAAAACCTGAATAGACTAATAATGCATTATAACTAGTATCCAATCTCCCAGTGCAGAAAAGCCAGGATGAAATGGCTTCACTGATGAATTTTACCAAGATTTTAAAAAGTAGCCAGTACTATTTCTTCTTGAATTAATAGGTAGTCATTTGGGCTAGCATTACCATTACCAAAACTTTATAAGAAATAAGAAGGAACTATAGAACAACAGCCCCAGTCAACAAAGTACTAGTGAATCAGAAAGATCATACACTGTAAGAAGGTAGGCTTCATTCCCAGATGCAAGAATGGATCAACCTCTACAAATCAAACTACCATATGATATAAAAAGCCATGTGAGTGGGCGTAGAAAAATCATTTGATAAAGTTCATCATCCATTCATGATAAAATAGGAAAACAAGTTATGTATAACAAGCCCACAACTAATACCATCCTAAATGTTGAGAACCAATGTCTTTCCTTTCTTATCAGGAACAAGACAAGATCCCCACTCTCCTTGCTATCTTTCAATGTCATATTAACTTTAGTTAGAGCAATCAGACAAGAGAAAGAAAAGGTAGATGCATAGGAAAGAAAGGAGTCAAAACAACTAAATGTGTGGGGGGCATGAATAAAGACTTCACTAGAACTACTAGGGGAGAGAGACTGAGTGAGGTAGGAGGATAGTGTCAACAGAGCCAGTTTTTGACGTGGGCAGTATCTAAGCTGGATGTAATGTACTCCACATTCTTCTCTGACCGCTAATATTCTTCAGATGAAGAACTCAAAAGTTCATTCAAAACAGCTCTGTCTTCTTAAGACTTGATGAGACTTGGGGCTGTCTACTTAGGACTCTACTTTCTGTTTTGTTTATTTGTTTAAAGCTCTTCCACACATAATGAATTTCCTAAGGAAGAATTTATGAATGAGATTTAAGTCACAATAGCCACAAAACATACCTAGGAACAAACTAAGGAAGTTCCTCTGCAAAAAAGTGTAAAACACTGATGAGAGAAACGTCAGATACTAGAAGATGGAAAGACTGCCTATTTTCATGGATTAGGAGAAGTCATTAACTGTCCTTAATGTTCAAAGTGATCCAGGGATTCGATGCAATCTTCATCAAAACACTGCTGTCATTTGAGGACTGAGATCATCAGTCAGTAGGGAAGAGTCATGCTGCACATGCATGTGGACCTGAATTTGAATTCCCAGCATCCAGCAAAAAACTGGGCATGGCCACACACCTATAACTTGGGGCTGTTGGAGGTAGAATAGCTGGGGCTTGTTGGCTGCTGGTCCAGCTCTGGGTTCAGGGGGAGACCCCATCTCAGTGGCATAAGGCAGAAAGTGATATAGCCAAGAGCTGAGTCTTCCTCTAGCCACTCCATTTACACACATGTTGTGTGCACCAGCAACCACATGTGCAAGTACCATAAACACATATGCATTTAAGAGAATAACTTTTATAAGAATAAAATAGCAAATGAGATGCTGCATAGAACAGCAACAACAAAACCCAATAAAATTAGTATGCAAGCCCAGAAGCTACTGAATCAAATAGAAAGAGCAGAGCTGGAGGCATAGACACCTGATTTCTAGACATAAAGCAGAGCTCAGTAACAAGCAATAAGATACCGCATAAAAGGAACAGTTACTAGTGAAATAGAATGGAAAACCCAGAAATAAACATGCCAACAATAACAATACACAGTGCTATGCCTACACACATGCCTACACACACACACACATACACACACAGAAGACTGATAAATGACCCCAACCCTCACCCTACACAGAAATCAACTCAAACTACCAAATATCTTAATATAAGACCTGGAACTCTAAGTACCAGTGGAAGACTTCACAATATGGTACAAATGATAATTCTTGAGTGAGATGCCAATAACTCAGGAAACAAAAGCAGGAATTAATGAGATGACATCAAATTAGAAAGCTTCTACATAGCAAATAATAGAGCAAAGAAAAAAAATCTACAGAGTGGGAAAGACGGTATAGAGACCTCAAAAAATCAATATGAAATAAGTAATGCAATTAGAAAATGTATTTGTGATATAAATACACTTATAAAGTATATATACATGCACATATATACATTGCCAATCACTATGAAAAAAAATGTTGCATTTCACTAGCCACCAGGGCAACAGATTCAGAGAGCTGTCATTGAAGTTCAGTCAGATTGGCTGGCTATCAACCAAACAACAACAAAAACAAATGCTAGTGAGGATGTGGAGAAAAAGAAACCACTGTTGATGGGAATGCAAATTAGTGCAGCTACTCCTGCAACAGTGTGGAAGTTCCTCAAAAAAACCTAAAAATAGAGCTACCGTATGATCCAGCTACCGCGAAGAGAGGACAGAAGGAAGTGAAGTTAGCAGCGTGCGAAAAAGAATGCACTTTCACAATAGAAAGATGCGAGGCCCAGGAGGTTGTCAACATGGATGGACAGAGAAAATATGGTCCATGCTCACACAGTGGGGCGTTTAGCCACAAAGGGTGAATTCCTGTGACTCCAGGACAATGAGGAGAAACAGAGGGCATATTAAGCAAGACCAGCTATAATGTTCTTATGTGTGAAAATTTAAGAACTGACATGAAAGTTGACTAGTAATTACATGGGTCTGGAAGCCAGCAAAAGGGATGTGAGATTTGATGAATGCATGTCACATGCGCGTGTGGAAATATTACATCGAATCCACCAACATGTAGAGTAACACAGAAAACCTGAAATCAAAGAGTAAAGTTATTTAAAAGTAAATTAATCAGAAGAGAGTGGCTAATAGAAAACTGTATTTGAACAAACTTGATCAATTAAATGTTTTCCAGGAAAGTGGGGATAAGACCTCTATTATTTACATCTTCCTGCGTCTACCCTTCACAAATTATCAAGATAATAGTCATATCCGAGAGATAACAGCTCTCAAGTATAAGGATACCACATGTAAATAAAGGGGGGGTGGGAAAGAGTTTAGAGGTAGTGATGGAAGCTAACAAAGAGGTGGGGGGAGGAGAACCCTGCATTAGAGTGAGTTGGTTGGAAGCGTTTGCTTGTACTGCCTTTCTGTCTAACATCTGGACAATTCATGTGCTCTCACTGAGCCTTCCTTGTTAACCATGGCTGCTCCTAGAACTAAAACAGCCCTCAGCCTGTGTCCTAAAACCATGGATCTTTTCAGAGAAATGATTAACCAATCTTACTTTTCTTTGCACACTATAGGTATGTATTTCACCTACAACCATCTTTACACAGAAAGAAAAGACATTCTCCGAGTTTTTTCTGTCAAACAGAAGAAAATGTGAGGTAACCTGTCGCACAGGAGAGAAGATGGGCTGGCAGATAGAGCTGCAGCAAATACAACACTGGGCATCTGCTGGAGAAAAGGAACATAGAACTGGACAAAAATCTATCATGGCACCGTGTTTTGAAGCTCCTGTGCTTTAAGGACAAATCCCCAACAGGTGCAGCATACACTGCTTCACCAGGCCTGTGGGCTTTATACTACTTACATTTGTAATGCGCGAACTCTGAATGCTTTTCCTGTAATGTTAATGAGAAATAGATTCTGTGGAGTAAATTCAATTGACTTGAGAAACCAACTGATTTAATTTCTGCACTCACAACTAACAGATTTATATGAAGGGGATGTGGTGAAATGTCCTCTTTGATTCTAAGATAACATACTCTATAGACAAACATCCCTGCCCTTAGAACCATGAACATTATCTATACCCAGATAACGTCTTCCTGTATCTTAGCTCAGGTTGCTGCTGTGTCATGAAGTGCACCCCATCTTATAAAACTTGGTTGTCAAGTCTACAGAAATTTATGTTTTAGGGTTTGGGAGACTTGAATGTACAAGAGCAGCAGGATGCTAGCCAATTCAGTAAGATTAGTATAGACATGAACTGTAGACCCGACCAGCCTCTCTAGCAGGAACACTGATAGTCTGAGCTGAAGCTAATAGAGATAGAACAACAATTGGGCTTCATAGATTTGATAGAATGTACCCTTGAACTGTTTTGGGAGGCGATCTTGTACCACAGATGATCAGAGGTGTCTCTTCAAATGCATAGGGGCAGCCCTATTTAATGGCCCTGATTTAGATGATGAGTTCCCTAAGAAAATAGAGGCTTCCACTCCAGATGTCATTTCTTTTTCATCTCTGACCAAAAGTCACCTTTACCACACCCCAAAAGGTGCCATCAGCATCTTCAAATTCTTCCACCTTCTACTCACTAATTCAAAGCGGCTTCTCCATGTCTATACTTTGTATACAGCAGTGCCTCACCTTTTGTAACTACTGCTCACTTAGTCTGGATTGTTGCAACAAAATATTATTAAATTGAGTGATTCTAGAAATCAAAAAGCTTAATATCAAGATGCCAAGTGACAAGTGACTTCTGAGTGTGGGATGCGGATGGATGCCTCCTTGCTGTGTGGCCACATGGTAGAGAAGGAAAGTACTTCTCCCAGATCCATTCTTGTGAACTCAGTAATCTCCTTCATAAAGGCTCCCTCTTTGTCCCTACTTACTTCCCAAAGCCCCACCTCCAAGTACTTCCACTCCGAAAAAAGTCAATATCTACTAATTCACATCATAAAATGTTATTAGTAGCCCCTTGGTTACTATGGAGCTTTTATATTACGTCTGTAACACGATTTTAGACAATTGCATAGATAACCGTATCTGTGCCAAACGTATACCTATCCAGTCCAATCTGTGCTTGGATACTTCCAAGAGGCATAAGGTAGCTCTAGCCCTACATTAGTGCATGCCCAAATACTATTTGTCTTGACAACTTGTGTTTTCAAAAGCTGCCAGAAGACTTGTAACAAAACACTCCTTTATGGAGTTAAGAACATGGTCTAAATAAGCAGCTTCCTGTTGTGTAAAACAAAGTAAAACATCTTGACGGAACAGTTGGGAGGTCACTATTATTTTAGTGGCATAGCATTGAGTTTAGTCTTTCGTGTACCAATGTAGACTCTCTAGAGGTCCAGCAGCCAGAAAACCACATGACTTTTCCATCCATGACTGCTCAAAACAAAGAACTAGGGAAGAGAGGACTGAGGATTATCTTATTTCCCTCTTTCTGTAAACTTCTGTTTTCTGTGAAGAACAGGAGGAAACACCAGGTTTGAGAAGAAACTGGGTTGAAAAGACATAATAAATCTACGTAGATTCTTCCATTCCTTGGGTATCAGCAAATGTTTGGTTGCTGATTCACAATGAGAAAATGTCTTCAGTGCCCACTTCCCCTTCACTAATCATTGTCTCCTGTGTTTCCAAGGTACTCTGGAATCCAGAGCTCTTTAACACAAGCAGAAAAACCTGGTCTGCTGCAGTACTCTCAAGCTTCCCAGTACCAAAGGTCTGGTGTTTTTCTTAGCACATATGCATCTTAAAGTGGAAGCCAAGATACCTGATGCAGTAAAAATAGATATTTTTGCTCCATTTTAAAGCAGAAAACAATGTTCCCCATGGTACTGTTGCAAGACTTCAAACAAGCTAAGCAAAATGAAACATCTAGTGTTTTCACAATCTGGTATCCAACAGTAAATGCTAGATGACGTTCAGCCTCTAGTTGGTAGGAAATACACAATAGTGCATAATGTATGGGAAGAAGAAGAAAAGCTGGTATAAATTACTTCACTTTTTTTTTCTCTTGGCTTAAACTATTTCTTGGTAGTCCAAGAAATACAGGTTATCATTCCTTTAAAGGAATGATATATTTGGAAAATAAAACCAGTAGTGCTGCTGTGACTTGGTGCACTTTGGGACAACAGGAAGATACGTGCCACCTGTGAATAGCAGACGTTCTGTGGTGATTGTGAAAACTCAGGCACTTGTCTTTGAGTGCAAGACACAAAAGTGCCTGATTGCAATGCCATGATTTTCTTTCCTAATGATCCCTTGTATGTATATTTATATGATTAGTTGAGGACTGGGCCCCAGTTGAAGTCACAATAAAAAACAAGCATCAAAATTATAATGTTGCTTGGGTCTCTAGCCATTGTAGGAGCTGAAATCATGATACAATCTTTGGACTACTAATACTTTAAGACTTTAGGCCACTAATATTCTGGTGAAGAGATCTTCAATCTTATAAAAAAAATTGGTCTTCTGAGGAGTTATTTATCCCTTTTTGCTGGTCTAGCATCCCATCTTCTTTCTCCCAGGGAAACCCAGTTCAAGTTTGCTTGGGGCCACTTCCTCTGTGTCCAGGACTCAGGTCAACACCTGATTTAGGCCTAACCACTGAGTATATCCCACCTGCCAAGGACCAAATACTTGTCAAAAAACCTACATATATTCTTAGAGTCTGCCCAGTATTGATTCTACCATGCTTGTAGGGAAAAGAACTGTTCCTTACCCTTGGTAATGGTAGCTGGCAGCCATTTTGCTAAGTAGAAGGCATGATCTCCAGAGGAAGAGATCACAGCATCACAGGATTCATCAGACCAACAACTGAGTTTTTGGTGTGTGAACTAATAGTCTCCTTGGTGGTCACTGCTGTTGTGAATTGGATAACTTTCACTTGCATTCATGACAACCCAGCATAGGAATCCCACCTATCACTGATGAGTCTAACTTGGGTACTAGTCGGTGTCATGCTTAGTGATCGGAACGTGCCTAGCAGTTCTGTAAGTGGGTGTTTTATCAACAGGAATAAAATTTGTCTACCTCAATGACAAGCCTTCATGGAAAGTAGATTATAATATCCTTGTCACCTGTATGGTTTGCTTTCACTGGCAAAATCTTCCCACACACTTTTTTGTTTTGTTTTGTTTTGGAGACAGGGTTTCTCTGTGTAGTCCTGGCTGCCCTGGAACTCACTCTGTAGACCAGGCTGGCCTCGAACTCAGAAATCCGCCTGCCTCTGCCTCCTAAGTGCTGGGATTAAAGGTGTGCGCCACCACTACCTGGCCTTCCCACACACTTAAAAACAAAAGTCACATTGTCAAAAACTCGTAAGATTATTTTACTAGAACTTAAGGGAGAGAAAATATACTCCAGTTTTCACAAAGAAAAGAAGACTTACAATGAACTCTGTCCATATAGAAGTTATGTTCTATTTCAGTTTCAAATGCCCAGGTACCCAAGGAATACACCCCCTCCTGGCTACACACACGGTGAGATGTCAGTATGTAGCCATCTTCTCATGACCTCCAACGGTGAGTATCACTTCTCACAGATCTCAGACAGCAGTCCTAAAAAGCTTCTGTTTCTTTGGTCTGTCTGCTTTGGTGGAGAATGCTGCTGGTTCCTGGGACTCTCACCAACCATACGCTCTGGTCCATACAGCTTTCTTTTTAAACTCTGGGAGAACTCGCAAGGATAGCAGGGTGGCTAGGACAAGAACACAGGACAGACTGATGGACTTGACAGAGCTGGGCTGTGTCTGAAATGATCATTTTGATCAAAAAGGTGTCAAAGCAGTCAACAGGAAAATTTGCAGACCTACTGATGTTTGGTGCTAGTGATAATTGTTTCTCTTAATGTCATTACTATTTACATAAAATGCTGCCTCTGTAACGGTTTACTTTAAGTTTGTCTTCTTTTATACATGAACTATTTCCATTAAGTGTTTAATTAAAGAGAAGCCCTCACACCTATAAGAACGCTGAGTTCTTGTGCTCAATGAAGCAAGTGTACTCACACTAAATTTTACCTGGACATGTATCTGTAATGTATGTATTTCCCACTGTGTTACGGGTCCCAAGGAACAATTAAAAGTAGAGAAATTCTGATTAACATTGTTTGGTAATTACTACATATTTCTTATCTTATTCTAGAATATTAATATATTCAGATGTTATGTAAAATAAAAAAAAAATGTAAAGGAATGTAGAGAACCCAGGTCATTCCAGTAACCAATGACTATGTAATCTAGAAAAGGTGTGGTTCCTTAAACCAAGTGATTGTTTTCTTTATTGATATCAGTTGGTACCTTTGTAAATGAAGATAGCATATGTTTGCAACCATCATTGGTCCAAACTCCCTGCTGCACACAAATACGGACTCCTATCAGCAAGCCCCAAGGACATGAGCAGGAGCTGCTGGCTCCAGAACCGCAAGTCCCAAGACACAGGTGACAAGTATGAGCCATCTCAGGTCGTGAGGCGAATGGCCAAATCACACCTCATAGCTGAGTTTGCAACTCTATAAAACTTTCAGAAACATCTTCCACATTTGGGGATTCCTACAGTCGTAATGTGCCAGTGCAGGGAGAAGTGTGGGAATGAGAGTGCTTGACAGCTCGGTCAGCACCTCGTTCCCTTCTGAAAACAGAGCAGTATCATTGTTACCAGAAGTTAGTGTAGGGTGTTGTAGGGTTTACAAATCGTGTTACAACATAAAAGCTGAAATGAGAACTCTCTGTGTATTTCCCGATTGTTTCCCATTACAAATATTTTACAAGAGTCCTCACATACAGGATGAAGAAAAACTTACAGACATCATCAAAACTGTCTCTGAAACTCTGGATTTCTGTTGGCTATATTTAAACTTTTCTGAATTTTGCAAAATTTAATTATTTTATAATTATAATGATATTTAATATTACTTATCTAAAGTTAATTTTTAATGGCACTGGCTCTCCTTTTTACCCCATTTTTCTGACTCAAAATGCCATAGTAAGGGCATTTTCTTGAGCCCATGTACCCAACTGATGCTCTTCCATTTCATCACAAGTAGTTTTAGCTCATGTTGGGCATAAAGCATGAAGTAATACCTTTCAAAAGATCCTTGGACTTTGCTGCAAAGGCTTCGTTAGGAATTTCCATGATGCTAAATAGCCAGTCAATGAACTAGGGTGAAAAAGGATATTGTCAGTGAAGTAAATCCCACCATTAGTATGAGAACAGACAGTCTCTTGGGCCTGCATACATGAAGTGCAAAGGTCTTGAAGCATTTCCTGTAGAGGCTGGAGAAGTAGAAATGGCAAGGAGAGCAGGGATAGTATGAGGGTGGGGGTGGTGCAGAGATGAGACAGGGATGAAAGATACAATTGATCAAGAGGCCTCACTAAACCTAACCCACTTTCCATACAGAGATATACTAAGACCTTGTGTGGGAAGCATACGGTAGACATGGGCCCAGAGGGCTTCAGCTTATCTTGAACATTATCTCTAGTCACTCTGATATGCTCAGACAGGGTTAGCGACCTGATCCAAGTCAACTTCCTCTGAATAATAGCAGATCAAGACTTGAACAGAGCTATATGTGGCTGCAATGTGACTTTCTTTGCATCATACCATCTTCCACCTGGTTTCATATGCATTTTGGCCAAGAATCATAGGTTCAGAAATTTTCTTTCGTGTTTTATAACTTACTAGTAAATAGTCACTACAAATACACAATGAATTTAAGATATCTATCCTGTATCCAAGGTGAACAGTGTTCCAGTGTGGAAATAATAGGAGAGACTATGTTTATTTTGGTTAAAAGTAGAACATAAAATACAAAGCTTGGGGTAGCCTCCTAACATTTACCTGACTTAACGGTGAAAGGCCTTTCAGCTGAGACACTCGGTGGGGTTAGGCGTAGCTAAGCCAGGCTTACAGTTCAGAAATGCTTTTAAGGATTAATGTTCATATTTCAAAAATAAGTGGCAAAGTATTAAAGTTTTCAACATCATAAAAATAGTTTTGATTAAATAGGATTCAGAAAAGAATCTTCCAATCAGCTGTATTAGAGACAGGACAGAGCCAGATAAAGCCAAGTAAAGGAGATGGAGCTTCCATGTGTTCAGCTGCGAGTCTGCACATGAGGACGAATCATGAAAGTGCTGCTTATGATACTGGACTTCAACAAAACCCTGTCTGGGATCTACAACAGGCCAGCTATGGCAAGTACACATAGTGAGACAGAATAAGGCAACCAGACCTTTCTATGTCACAGTACTATAGCTACTCTAGAGCTACACTTCCCCTGGAATGTTCTCTGAACCACCCCTGCATATGGGTCCATGCCCCTCTCTTACTTTTCATCTCGTATCCCACACAGCACACCATCGTGGATCTTGAGTTTGTCTGCCTATGTGTCCTGACATCAAGGATTGGAGGTAAAATGTATCCTTTCCACCCAGGATCAAGAGCACAAGCTCACTCAATAAATGGATGGAGATAGAGGCTCTCTCTAGCTGCCCCCTCACCATAAATGAGTTTTTGCTGCTGTCAGTTGTCTAGACAATAGTTACCCTGACCCTGGGCTGGCCTCTGTCTCTATCACATGGCATGAGAGTGATATTTGGGGATGAGTATGAAAGCCTTTGGTGTGATCCAAGCTTCATCTAATTGCTACTTTCATCATTCAGCAGCAACTGTTGGAGACAAAAGCCTGCCTGTCCTGCTAAGCAGGTGGCTGCCACCCCTCACCTTCTGGGTCTGTTCCTTCCATGGCTCCTTTTGTAGCAGCAGTAGCATGCTACGGGGGAGCTGAGTGAGAACCTCTTGCACAGTGACTCTATGCATCGGACTCCTGCCAAGCAAGGTTGCTGCTGGCCCACCAGGGCCATTCTCCTGGTGCCATGGCAACCAACTGGCACTGAGGCCAAGGAGAAGGGGGGCCTCATGGTCTGCCCATGCCACCACTGCAGCTGCAAATATCAGCATCAAGAAGTCCAAAGCCTGTTAAGAAAATACAAGCAACATGAGACCATATGTTTTATTCAAAGTTACACAAGTTCACAAACACAGCCTCTATCATGATGCAAGGCGGTCTTCTCTTTCTCCTACTACTCCTGTTGCCCCAGAAGAGGAACTGCACTGAGCAGCAAACTTAGTTTCCATGCCAACTGTAGAGCTTATCTGGGCTTTGGAAGGTTCCTGTTTTTTTTTTTTTTTTTCCTTATGTGAGGGAGGACCCAGCAGTTCCAGATTATTCCTCCAACATTTTCAAAGAAATACAATTAATTCTCAATCATATCAAGATCTGAATACTTCCCCCAGTTTTGGTGTTTTTTAAAAAGATAAATAAACTAAGCAAGTTATTTGTTATATAAACAAAACTGTTTTTTAAAAAATATGAAACATTTTATTTTTAAAAATAAAAAGTTTATCTTTAGACATTAAAAAAAAAATCTGTCTGTAATCCAACCTTCAGGCTACATTAGACAATTGTAAAAAATTTAGATATAGTAATGGGGACACTTCCAGCTGAATTACTGTGATCTCAATTATACTTTTTCAGCTAATTTTCATGCTAAGAATTTTGAGATTTTTTGGGGGGGCAGGTAAGAAAACAGAAAGTTAATAAAAGCTCAGGAAATCAGAAAGAAAGGGGAAAGACTACAACTTAAAAAAATAAATATTTTTTAAAAACATATTTTTCAATCTCTTAAGATCCTAACTAATGGATTAAAATTTTAATAACTTCAAAAAGACACACAACTCTTCAGACAAATGGTTCAGAATTCCAAAGAACATATCAGGCTATGCATTTTTTTTAAATTTAGTATGTTTTTATTGGATATTTTATTTACATTTCAGATGTTATTCCCTTACCCCATTCCCCCCGCCCCGACTCCCACCCAGGAACTCCCTATCCCATCCCCCCTCCTCCTGCTTCTATGAAGATGTGCCCCCACCACCCCTCCCACTCCCACCTCCCAACCCTTGGATTCCCCCCCAATGTGCATCCAGCCTTCATGGGACCAAGGATCTCCTTTCCCACCTATGCCGACAAGGCCATCCTCCCCTACATATATAGCTGGAGTCATGGGTCCCTCCCTATGTGCTCCCAGGCTGGTGGGAGATAAATGGTTCAGAATTCCAAAGAACATATCAGGTTATGCAAATTTTAACTCAACTGGGAAGAATGCCTACACAGAAAATTAAGAAAAAAAGAGTTGAATAGAGCTATGCTTCAATTATTGTATTGTTTGTATTGGTTTTTACAATCACTCAATACTAGGACCCTTTTCTTTGGGGTGTCATAAGGCACACTGCAGATCTGATGGAAACCTTCACATGTCACATGCAGGAGTCAGCACACATAGATGTTCTGCATATAACTCATGAATCTCTTCATCCTAGGCATTTCTAGTCAAATGAGGCAGAGAACCCAGAGACCTGAGCCTGGCATTCCTACACACACTATGAGGACTCTGGGGTTCTCCTCTAACTAGTATTCTTTGAGTCCTTTGCATCAAAGAACATGTTTTGCTAAAAATATTTCTCTAAAGACAGTCTTGGCATCTCAAGAAACACAACAATAGATACTGTTTCCTTATGGCATCAAAGAGTTATTTCCAGTGTTTCTCAAAATAAAAGGAAGAAAAGTTGTGAGAGTATATTTGATTTTGGATCTTGGATGACCCCAAAGGCCATGGCTTCCAGACTTAGTCCCCAGGCAGATGCTATGGGAAAGTAGTAGACCATATAGGTGGCAGTAAGTAGTAGGAGCTCTTTGGGAATTGGGGAGGGAGTGTGCCCTGAAAAGAACTATGGGCCTTAGATCTGGCTCAGCAATGCATTCCCTCCATGAAGCATCACTTCACCACATGTCCAAAGCTGTGGGATCAATGGACCCTGGGCTAGAACCCCAAACTGTGAGCCAGATGAATGATTTCACTTTGTCAGCTGAAGGCCTCTGGTGTTTGTTACAGCAGTGAAAAGCTGAGCAACACAGCAACTGAGTCTTCTTTTAGGAAATAGAAGTTTTACTTTTTTTTGTTTTTTGAGACAGGGTTTCTCTGTGTAGCCCTGGCTGTCCTGGAACTCACTCTGTAGACCAGGCTGGCCTTGAACTCAGAAATCCGCCTGCCTCTTCCTCCCAAGTGCTGGGATTAAAGGCGTGCGCCACCACTGCCCGGCTAAGTTAATTTTAAGTTAAGTTTGCTGCTTCTCTAGATTGTACCTCATCAGGAGCCACATGCTGAGCAGTTGCTGACTGGTAAGCAATGTTTCTCATATAACCCATCAGTTCCAAGAGCCACTCCAGTCTCTTCAACACGCCTGAAACAAAACGAGTATTTTTTTCCATCATGGATTAGCAATAATCATCACAACCGAAGCAGGACACATGGTCAGAGGTCCTTGAACAGCTTTCAGATGCAGTTCTGGAAATGTTGCTGCCAGGCTAAAGTTTACACTACTCACATCAGGAAATTAGTTTAGACTTTTTGTTGAAGTGAATCCTCCCTTGAGTCTCTCTGCCCAGTAGTGACAGAACACATTTATTGAAGTTTTTCCTCTGAAAACTGAACACACCAGGAGAAATCTGGAATGTAACTAGGCAATAATGTTGAATCTCCGGTAGTTAGCTGTTTTATATTCCTCCTGTGCTTTCCTAGTCTCAATACGCTGGAGTAATCAGAAGCCTGTCCTGACAACATAAAAAACAGAAACACCAACCAGCCACCACAGAGTAACTGGAGAATAAATATCAGTATAGGGATTGAGAGATATGATTATTTAAAAAATATTTTTATTTCATGTGCATTGGTAATCTGATCACACATCTGTCTGTGGGCAGGTGTCAGATCCCCTGGATCAGGAGTTACAGACAGTTGTGAGCTGCCATGTAAGTGCTGGGAATTGAACCTTGGCCCTCTAGAAGACCAGCCTGTGCTCTTAACCACTGAGCCATCAGTCCAGGCCTCTTCTTCTTCTTCTTCTTCTTTTTTTTTTTTTTTTTTTTTTTTAAATGAGGGGTTCCAGCACAGGAAAAACTACTTAGGAACATCTTAAGAATTTAATAAGAGGAAAAGGAAGTAGGCTGATCAGAATCAAAAGCAACATCAGACATCTCTAGTTTATTCTAAGTATTTTTATCAAAAATTAGAAACAGCTACTAAATTTGTTCCCAATAAACATATTTTTACTTTAGAATGAAAACTTAAAATTCTTGGGCGGATGATACAGCCCAGCAGGTAAAGATGCTCGGCACAAGAGCCTGATGACCTGAATTAGATATGGGGAACCCATAGTTAAAGAGAGACCCACACTCCCAAAATTGCCCTCTAATTTTTACACATACACCATAGTACATGTGTACCCATACTCAGGCACACAGACACACACATACACACATACACAGAGAGAGAGAGAGAGAAAGAGGGGGGAGAGGGAGGAAGGGAGAGGGAGAGGGCACAATATATAAAATTTATTTATTTAAATAAAAGAAAATTACATTTCTCATCACAAGGCCATTTTCTTCTTCGGTGCTAGGCACTAAGGAGGATATAAGCAAACTGCTTAATTTCATCATATCAGGTGACCTAATAAACACATAGCCAAGAGCAAGTTTTATCCTCAAGGGGCCATTACAATTTAGTGTCTAAAATGCTCTGTAAGCAAACATGCCAGGCATGGCAGTGCACATTTAACTTAATCCTAATACTTGAGAAGGAAAGGCAGAGATCTCTTGGACTTTAAGGTCAGCCTGGTCTACAAACCTGTTTTCTCCCTTTCCCCCCAAACAAACAAACAAACAAACAAACAAAAACAAACACCCTGAGAAGTCTTTTTACACAGATTATTTAAGTTTCTTTGTTTTCCTTTTTGACTCTTAATTAAGTGGCCACCGACAAACCATTTTCTTTCTATTATCAGGAGAGTCCATTTCCATCTTGTGTGTTTGGAAAACTAAGGTAAAACTGACAGAAGTAACCTAGTGTTGTATCCATGATGGTCTGGGTCAGTGGTTTTCACCCTTCCTAAGTGGCATGTGACCCTTAATACAGTTCCTTATGTTCTGATGACCCCAACCATAAAATCATTTTCAGTGCTACTTCATAACTTTAACTTTGCTGTTATGAATCATAATGTAAATATCCAGTATACAGGATATCATATATGCAACTCCTGTGAAAAGGTTATCCCTCAAAGGGTTTGTGACCCACAGGTTGAGAACCATTGGTAGACCAGCAGAACAAAGATAATATGAAAATCCTTTAAAAGTATTTAATTCTTCTATCCAAAAATGGGTGGTGTGCGATACAGCCTATCATCCATCGTAAGCACTACTACTCATCTTTGGTAAGGCCAGACCTGTGTCAGCAAACAAGCTAGCTTTGAAGTTGAGGTGACAACATGCAGCTGAAGAGCTACAGCAGGCAAACGTTTCTGTGCTCACCTGTGTTGGTGTGGTTCACAATGCGTGCCTGGTATAAGCTGTGCAAGATCATCCAGGCTAGAGTCTCCTTCTCGGGGTGCTGCACAGCAGCAGTGAGTAGATCAGTCAGGCTCATCAACGGGAGTCGTCCTTGAGAGACTAAGTACAACTTGACAAAGGCAGCCTTTTCTATGTTGTCCTGGGAGAGGGGGAACCAGTTGTTTAGTCGTTAGTAAGTTAATGAAGTGTCAGTAAAACCTCAAGGGAAAAGCAGTCAGAAGGGTGAGTTTGACACTTTTCCCCCAAATACTAGAGCTGCTCACTTCCTATAGCACAGAATCTAGCTGCCTGTGTTACACTGAAATGCACTCGCAACAGATGGCTGCAACGCCACATTTTATTCCCATGGAAACTATGAGTGTGTTTGGAGGTTAGGAAGTAAGGATACAGAATAATAGCATAATACATACTACACTTACTACATTCCAAATACCAGTTGAAGGGGTACATTTACTCCATTTGTCTCCACTCAGAAACTAGGCCATAAGCTATGTGCTTCAGCAGCAGACCCCCCAAAGTCCAGGAACAAGATAATAAAATCCCCCACCCAAGGAACAGCCTGAAGATAGCCATATAAATAGGAGATATCTGATCTCAGGATAGGCCATCTGTGCTGGGCAGCCCAACTGGTGGTTAATCATTCATGATGCAGGAATGCAGTCCATCTGGGCCATCCTGGCACCCACCAGTGAGGTTTTAGATTACCTAACCCTAGCATAGTAGCCAATCAAAATTGTACTAATGTCAGAGCTTTGGCCCCTACCAATCACATTAGAGATTACTTAATCCTTCTAGAGAGTTCCCCGGGTTCCCTATAAGAAAGCCTGCATGCCTTTGTCTGGGGTCATCGCTATTTTGATGCAGTGGTGACCCCAGCATGTTGGTTATTTCTGCAGAACAAATGTTCTTTGTTCTTGCATACTATTTGAGTCTGGGGTCTTCCTTCAATGATTCCTGAACCCTAACATTTGAGGGCTCGTCTGGGATTTGCTGGGGTCCCAACTTGATAGTAGAGCATTTGGGGGGAGCAATTGACTCCCCACTTATCAGTGAGTTGGGGCACACCTCTGTGTGCTGTGTATCTTTGTCTTACTCTGACTCATCCTTTGTCTTGTTCAGTATGGGGTGAATTTCTTTCATTTTGTTTGCACTCTGGAGGCCAAGGAGGCAGGGTGAATACTCCAGTAACTCACTCCTGACCAGGAGGTTCTGAGGATGCTCCAGATCCTCTTCAGTTGGAGATAGAGAGCTCCAGTCTGACCCTGGTCTTTGTAGTGGAAGCTGACAGATTGTTCCTCGTTGGCAGAGACTGTTCTTAGGATAGGCCACCTCCTCTGGACTCCCTTCAGCTGGAGTCAGAGAGCACCAGTCTGACACAGGTTTTGATAGAGACTGGCAGGACACTCCTGATTGACAGAGCCTATTCTTAGGGTAGGCCACTATCAGCTTCATTTAAGTTTCTTTTCTGGACCCCGGTAGACTTGTTTTTGTGGTTTTGTGTTTGTGTTTTACTTATTCTTTTTGTTTTTCTTAAGAAAAAACATGGGGAAGTCAGTGAGATACACCCCATGGATATAGTCCAGTCATACTTCAAGGATTTCAAACACCTGGTGGAGAGTTGGAGCCTAATTGTATGGTCAAGGAAACTGATTGTCTTTTGTAGAAATGACTGGCCAGCCTTCAATGTGGGATGGCCCAAAGGAGGCATTTTCCACTTTCTTACTATCTACTTGGTTAAGGGTATTGTGTTTGGAAGCCCTGGATACTCTGAACAGGTCCCATACATCACTGTCTGGCAGCATCCGGTGGAGAGCCCCCTCCTTGGCTGAGACCTTTCCTACCTCCACTCCAGGTGATTTTGCAGGTTAAGGAAACAGTCACTGAAGAATGAGGTCACCAGAGGGCACTCTAAACTGGACTCCTGAGATGGACAAAGCTTTTCATGGGCTCAAGGAAACAGTTGAGGCCCAGTACTTGGCCTGGCAGACATCTACAAGCCTTTCTATTAGTATGCAGATGAAAACAAAGGCATAGCCAAAGGGATACTGACATAGACCCTGGGCCCTTGGAAAAGATCAGTGGTCTATCTCTCTAAAAAGCTGAACCCTGTATCACAGGAATGGCCATCTTGCCTATGCATCATGGCAGCCACTGCTTTGCTGGTCAAGGATGTCAAGGATGCAGATAAAAACACCATGGAACAAGAACTGATTGTAAACACTCCTCATGCCATTGAGGGACTTCTCAAACCTCTCCCAGCCTGCTGGATATCTAATGCCCACTTGGTGCACTATCAGTCCCTGTTCCTAAACCTACCCTGCATTAGATACCACCCTGCCTTTGCCCTGAACCCAGCTATTCTGCTCCTGAACCTGGACATCATGCATGACTGCTCAATAGTGAAGAACCATGTCCAGAATCTGAGACCAGACCTAACGAATATCCCCTGGCTGGATACAGAAGGGACTTATTTTGCAGATGTGAGCAGCTTCATGCAAGGAAGAATCAGTTATGCAGGTGTGGCAGTGGTGACTCTTGACACTATATAATATGGGCTTAGACCCTACCATCTGGGACTTAGGCTCAGAAAGCTGAATTAATTGCTTTGGCACAGGCCCTTAAATTGGCAAAAGGCAAATCTGCTAACATCTACACACAGACAGCTGATACACCTTCACTATAGCTCATGCTCATGGACTCATATATAAAGAAAGGGGGCTACTCACAGCAAAACGAAAAGTTATCAAAAATAAAGATGAGATTCTGGTCTTGTTAGAGGCATTATGGGTGCCCCTCAAGGTAGCCGCTGTTCACTGCCCAGGATTTCAAAAGGGCATGGATGAGAGGGCAAAAGAAAACAGGCTAGCCAATAGGCTGCAAAAGAGACTGCATTAGACTTCACAGCCAAAGCAATGGTAGTTCTGGCCCCTCCAGAGCTTCCCCATGCTCCAAATTACAGCCCAGAAGGCAAAAGGGATCAAAGAAAATGTCAAGGACTTTATCAGAAAAAAAAAAAAAAGGTTCTAAGCAGTGGAAGGTCATGTGATCCTTCAGAATTTGCTAGACAGCTTATACATCAGGTTCATCAGAATACCCACCTGGACCACAGGAATCTCAAAGAACTGCTGAGGAATGCCAAGTACAAAATCTTTTAACTAGGACTCTTAGTACATGAGGTCATTTCCCACTGCCTGGCCTGTAAGGTAGTAAACCCCCTAACCACGGGGCAAGGAAGACCAGGAATCAGGCTATGAAGACAAAGGCCAGGTGTAAACTGGGAAATAGACTACACTGAATTAAGCAAGGTCTGTATGGGTATAGATACCTCCTAGTCATTGTAGACACCTTTTTAGTTTGGGTAGAGGTGTTCCCTACCAGGAGAGAGACCGCCACTTTGGTAGCCAAGAAGTTACTGGAAGAATCATTCCCAGGTATTGACTGCCCTTGTGGCTGGGCCCTGACAATGGACCAGGTTTTATCTTTCAGAATATGGCCATCAGATGTTTCTAGAGGTGTTACAGGCTCTTCACAGGATGCAAAAGTCAATATGGCCAAGCATCAGCCAAATCTATGAGTCTGCACCCCCTAATCCTCATTGCTTTGAACCAGGTGTCAAGGTCTGGATTAAGAGACACAACCACAAGACCCTTGAGCCCTGCTGGAAGGGCCTGCATATGGTGATACTGACAATGACCACAACTATAAAGGTTGACGGGATAAAGACTTGGATCCACCATACCCACGCCAAACCTGCCAGGTAAGAAACAATTCAATAGCTGAAACACCTCAGGGAACGGCATCCAGATGATCAAGCACCTGAGGCTAGCACTAGACACTGGTGAGCTGTCACCCATCCTTGGGATCCACTAAATCTAAGAGTTCAAAAATTCTTGCCTCACAAGTATCCCGCTGCACCCTAGATGATGAAGGGTCTTTATAAATCTCCAAAGAGCTCCATCTACCTGCTCCTTATACTCACTTTACTTAGAAATTAGCAAACAATTCTTACCAAGATGTTACCACCAAATGGATACTTCCAGGCCCTGAGAGAACCCTTCGAGAGCTAGGGAGGGAGTTACAGGCTTTGACACTGACTGGTCCGGTGAGTACCACCTTTCCTATTTTCAACCTAGACCTATGAACTCTGGCCAGAGACATATGGAAGGATCTGAGATCAAGAGGCAAACCCTGTTCATCATATTAATATCTGCAAAATGCTAGGCCAACTTGTGAAAAGGGCTGTCAAGAATGACAATTCACAACCATCCAACTCCATGTGTGCCCAGGGACAAATGATTAAAGGGCTTGTGGTGGTACTGAAAGCTTCTTTTGCTGTATATGGAGTGTAAGACTAATGCCCCACGGGTGCATGGTAATTGGGATCTTATCCAGATAGGCAGGATAGTGAACCCAACACCTGGAGGACTGGTAGGCTCAACATGGGGGAGAAACCCCATCTCCATCTTGATAAGAGAAAAGGTACAGAATAGTAGAGGATGGAAAGCTGGAAAAATTGGGGGCTTAATATTATATCATAGGCAAAATAGGGGACTCCTTTTCCAGATACAAAACCAAATAGCCCCATCTGGACCTCCCTCTGTAGAAAGAGAACCAGTACCCCCTGAGATGCCAATACCTGTCCTAAGAACTGAGACATTAGCCTTAGTCTCAGAGCCCTCTTCCTTCATAAACTCAGTCTTGTCCTGTTATCACACTTCTCCCTAGGGTCTACGAGTCATCTCTCCTGTTTGGACTACTCAACCTTACCTTCAATTTTATTAACTCCACTACTGACCTTATCAGAGAAGATTGTTGGCTCTGTCTGGACCCCAGGCCCCATACTATACTGGCTGGGCTACCACAGGAAATTTGTTAAAAGCCCACCAAGGTGTTTCTGGGGAAAGTCCCCTATCCTCACCCTTCAAGCAGTGACTAGAAAGGGACTGTGTGTGATGGGAAAAGAGGTAAGACTAAATAGTTTCTCCCATCTTAAGCATCTTTGCAATCATACCCTTATCATAGAATCTAGCAACTCCTACCTCGTGCTGCCTAATGAGACTTGGTTTGCGTGTACCTTGGCCTTAACCTCTTGTGTCCATCTAATAAACTCTAGCCTGTGTGTTCCTGTTGCACTGTTCCCTCAAGTTTACTCCCTTCCTGTCAGTACCTATATGGAGACAGTTTCAGATCATCACAGGGAAAACAAGATTTTGGGGTCTCACCAATTCTACTTTTGGTGCTTGTGGGGTCAGGCACAGCTGCAGGAATCGGCATTGGTGCTACAGCCTTAGTCAAAACTGATCAGACTCGCCAGGCCTAATCAATCTTATAGATTCAAATTTAGTTTACTTAGAAAAATCTATCCATTATCTAGAACAGTCAGTAGACTCATTGGCTTATCCAAAATAGAAGGGGATTAGATTTACTCTTCCTGGAGCAGGGAGGTTGGCTCTTCCAGCCCCTGAGGGAGCAGAGTTGCTTCTATACCAACAACTTGGGAATTATCTGAAATAACTTGGCCATGGTCCGCCAGAGACTGGAAGAAAGGGCTAAACTGAGACAGAATCAAGGCTGTTATGAATCCCGCTTTAATTGGTCTCCTTGGCTAACCATTCTTGCCTCTGCCTTAGCTGGATTCTATTGATCCTTACACTGACATGCAGCCCTTGCATTATCAGTGCCCTTATTAGGTTCATTAAGAAGCAAATCTCCATTGTTCAACTCATGGTCTTGAGACAACAGTATCAGCCAATAGATACAGCTCAAAGATCTGAGATGGAGCTTAACTCAAGGGGGGAGATGAAGAGGTTCATTCATTCCATTTTGTCTTCACTCAGAAACTAGGCCATAAGCCATCTGCTTCAGCAGCAGACCCCCAAAGTCCAAGAACAAGATAATAAAATTCCCCACCTAAGAAACAGCCTGAAGATAGCCACATAAATAGGAGATATCTGATCTCAGGATAGGCCATCTGTGCTGGGCAGCCCATCCTGTGGTTAATCATTCATGACAAAGGAAATGCAGTCCAGTCCATCTGAGGCATCCTGGCACCCACCAATGAGGTTTTAGATTACCTAACTCTAACATAGTAGCCAATCAAAATTGTCAGGGTTTTGGCCCCTACCAATCACATTAGAGATGACTAATCCTTCTAGAGAGACCCCCTGTTCCCTATAAAAAGGCCTATGTGCTTTTGTCTGGGGTCATCGCCACTGTGATGCACTGGTGACCTCACCATGTTGGTTGTTTCTTCAGAATAAACACTCTTTGTTCTTGTATACTATTTGAGTCTGGGGTCTTCCATCAGGACTTCCTGAACCATAATACAGTCTAAACATAAGCATTTAGTGTAGCAGTTTTCAAAATGTGACACACAGAATTCTGGGGACCCCAAGGCCCTTTGAGAGGCTCTAAGAGGTCAAGACTATTTTTTTAAGTCCACCAAATTATGTTGGTATCCATTGCATTTTTAGCACCACTTAATTTTTAAAATCCATTAAGAGGAGCTTGAGAGAGATAGCTCAGTGTTTAAAAGCATTTAACCACTTCCAGAGGACACTGGTTCAATTCCAGTACCCATATGGTAGTTTACAACCATTTATAACTCTAATCCAGGGAGTATGATACTCTCTCTGTTCTCCATGGATACCAGGCATGAATGTTAGTCACAGATATACACACAGACAAAACACCTATACATATTAAATAAGTAGATAAATAAATAAGCCATTTATACTCAATATTAATGTAATTAATAAAAAATATCCAACCAATATTCTATGTTACAAACTGGTGAAAAAGCATACAAGATTGTTGTGTATCCCAGTGTCATGGTTGTATCAGGACAAACACTGGAAAGAAGGAATTGAGAACTAAAATAGTTCTACATATGGAGCACGCTTTCCTTGAAAAAATTGTTGGCAAACTATAGCTATTTTAGCTGTCTATTAAATAGATTTTATTAAAAACTTAAGGGACGATCCAATCACACCAAGAAAAGTATCCCATAGTACTAGTTACCAAGAATTAAACTTAAAGCTAATAAAATTAAATATTTCAGAAAAATTTTGTCTAATTTTTTTTGAGCTTGACAACTTCCCAAAGGGTAGAGTACTTCCTGAAAAGATTTCTGAGACAACAAAGATAATGTTTTAGTATTATATCCTAAAACATATCAACATTTAGAAGACCTTCAAAACTTTACAAACTAACATTTTCCAAATGACAGTGTATGATACTAGAAAATCATCTATCTATCCAAGAGCTGACATTCAAAATGAACCAATAGATTTTAATATCAGAGTAGTCAAACTACCTTGGCATGGTTCTAGAGTCCATATTGCAAATTCTTTTGAAGAAACTAAGAGTTGTTGAATTTTGGTGCAGTATCAAGCATGAATATGGTGATAAGTAATAACTGAACTCTTGCTTTGAGCTGGTACTGTTCCAGGTACTCATTGTGGACTAAGTGATCTAACTCTCAAGACAACCCTCAGCGGTAGGTTCTATTGTCCCCATTTTACAGGCAGGGAAACTAAGAAGTTGAACTGAAGTCACATTGCTCAGAAGCTGCTAATCTGGATCTCACACAATAGCATCTCACCTCTTACCAGTTCCTTGAACTGCTTCTGTTTAAAATAAGCTAATTTCCAAAATGTTGAGAGCCAAACACTCTGTTCTCAACCTTAGGATGAGCCAGAATTGCCTGATAGGAGAGACTATTACAATATAGATTGCTGGGCCCCATGGTCTCAAGCAGGACTTGAGAATTCCCCTTTCTAATCAGCATCAGACACTGCTGAGACACTGGCCCAGTGATCCCATGTTGAGAAGCACTGCTATGTGATACAAATATTCAAGGACCCAACTTAAAAAGCAAACCTGACAGTGACAAGCAGATCACCAGCCACTGAAGATGAGGGTTGAGGGCACTAGCTATACACAGGGTTGTACTCCACTAAGTATGCCAAAGGGATGTGTTTATGCTAAAGGATCCAGTGCTCACAACGTCGGCTTCACAAAGCATTCTGTATCGATTTGCTTCTTCATCATGTGACTGGGTCTAAGGCTACTTGTCAATTACCTTACCAACTGTTCTTGTTTTACAAATGATCACCTTTCTGCACACAAAAGGACAGTATACCGTAGAAGAAACCAAAGGCGTGAACAGAACTATGCGTTTATGTCTTCAATACACCAGCAAGTACTTTGGTCAGAATATTCCTACATTTGTGGGTGTTACCTGGAAGATATTGTCTTGCTCTTATTTTTGCCCATAGGTAATGCAAAAATGATCTTGACAAAGTGTAAGAAATTGTATTAAAAAGTTGCTCCTATTCATCTAGACAGTATGTTTAAACACTAGTCACACCACCAGGCCAGCTACTAGACCTGACATCTGAAGCAGAAAGTAAGTGCCCTAAAATTATCTAGTAACAAGTCTGATATAAAACCACATTATGTCAAAAAGGATATTGTAAACAACTCTTCATGTGTGATTTACGCTTTAATAATGAAACATATTTCAGTAATGAAATAATGCATAGAACTACACATATATTACCTGAGTAACCTGGGAAACCTGATTGACCCCTTCGTCCGTCATCTCTGAGAGGCACTTTGCTATACTGATGTACAGCTCGAGATCATTTCTCTGGTAAAGATATGTCAAAATACAATGTAAGACAAATATATCAAGTCTATTAGTATTGTGATGAATTATTAGACCTGTTTATCCCCAATAACAGCTGCTGATGAGATTCTAATGCTAACCAAAACATACAGTCAGTCTTTCATAATTTAAGAATATTTTCTCCATTGTTCTGTGTGTTTGCTTGGCTACACTTTTTTCTCCTTATCAGAATTCCATTATTTTCACCCAGATTTTTAGCTTGTGAAACTCCAGTGTAGAGGTCTGCTGTGGAAAGGAAAGAGCTTACATAAGGCCATGTGACAGAAAGTATATATAAATAAGACAATGTCACCGAGGTACACTGGGGACAGATGTCTGCACTTGTTCATCTTCAGTAGGCTTCTGGTACAGCATCGGTTAACTCACTTCTAAGCTTGCTTAAAACTTTGGTTTTAAACACTGAACCTCAATTTCAGTCTTGGAAACAAACCCACTCCTAGTGAAGAATGTGTCATTTCTTGCTAGCCTTCCCACCCATATTCTTAAAACATCCCCAGCCTGCCTTTGCCAAAATGACTTTAAAGAAGCCCAAGCATAAACTGTCAGGAATGTAAATATTTTTGTTCTTTACCCGAATCCTATTTGGCAGAAGGTCAAAAATTCTCCCAGTAGCATCGCAGAGCAGACTCCAGAGGTGGTGGGAAGGACTGGGCAGTTTCATGGCCTGGCTCAGACCCTGTAAGGCACTTGGGCACATCTCAGGATGGCAAGGTTGGGAAGCTGCTTTAAAAACTGCCACCATCAGGTTTTCAACAAAACCCTGGATCTGTTCATCAGAGACGTGCTTTGCCCACAGAGGCATAGATACCAGGAGGTATTTCTTAATATTCAGCTGGAAGGAAAACAGATAAAGCCAGACATAAACAAGTCTGTCTGAGTTTGTGGTGGTTAAAGTCCCTAGGCCATCACTGAGTTGGAGAGCAGACAGATTAAAAGCTGGAGATTACTTCTTTTTCCTGCATTTTCCCATGGCTTCATAGTCCAAAGGGTCATTGTAATGATTAAAGGCACTAGTAATTATACTGTTTCAGTTACTTCTCATCCAGTGTACCTGTGTACACTCATCAATGTGTACCTGTAGGGTCCATCAATCCACTCAACTGAAATTGTCAAATAACTTAAGCCTGTTCAGAGATGGAAACTCAATGCTACCTCTGAAAGGACATCATGTTGCTATTCTGATTTTCTCCTATTGTTTTGGCTGTTTTGTATGTGGTGTAGGCATATGTGCTTGCACATATATGAGTGTGGGTGTTCACATGCACACGTGTGTTCATGCACATATGAGCACACACAGTGTGAAGAGGCTAGCAGTCAATTTCAGGTGTCTTCCTCAGCGTTTCTCACTGAACACAAGAGTTTACCAATTGGGTGACCAATGAGCTGTAAGGACCATCTGTCTTCACTTCCCTAGCACACACAAACACACCCACAACACACTCAAGCTTTACATGAATGCTGGAGATCCAAGCATAGGTCTTTATGCTTTCATGGCAAACATTTTACCCTTTCCCCAGCTTCTCCAATTCAGTCTTAAAATCATACTCTCCAGCAAGAGAAGCTGTCAATCTATCCAACTATTCCGCTTAACGTATACCTTAGATCTTTTCGGAGATGGGAATAAATGCTACTTCTGAACGTATGTCATAACTGGTATTTGGGTTTTTGTCTTTGTTTCTGTGGTGTGCATGTACTTGATGTATGCAAGTGTGCAGGTACACATGCAGGTATGTGAACATAACAAGTGTGCAGGTACACATGCAGGTATGTGAACATAACAAGTGTGCAGGTACACATGCAGCTATGTGAACAAAACAAGTGTGCAGGTACACATGCAGGTATGTGAACATAACAAGTGTGCAGGTACACATGCAGGTATGTGAACATAAAAAGTGTGCAGGTACACATGCAGATATGTGAACATAACAAGTGTGCAGGTACACATGCAGGTATGTGAACATAACATGTAGAAGTCAAAGACGGGAAGCCCGTCTGCTGAAAAATCAAATAAACAAAGCATCTGATATTATAATCATCTTTTGAGGAAAAACAAGGAAGCAATAAGAGGAACTCACGTGCTGGGCCGCTTCTGGGCAAAGAGCCACACACTGAGCATGTGGGCCTGACTGTGGCACCGGAGTGAATGAGAGTCAACATGAGGCAAAACTAGTATTAACTGTTACACGGCACTTCAAACATTCTTAGTAACACAGGGTTGATACTAATGGACAAGTCTAAAAGAAGTAGGCTAGGAAAAAAAAAATCTTTCCAAGGAGTTTTCTAAAGAGGTCATCTTCAAGAATATTCCAGCTCAAGTAATTTAAAAAATAATTAACGACATGCAACCATAACCAAACCAGATGCCAAGAACTGTTGCATAGATCTAAACCAGAAATGGAAGGCCTACAGAAATGTAGAGGAAATTTTCAGATCAACAGAATAGGCTGCTGGACACTTGACTCAACAAGAAGAAAGAGTCCACGGTACAAAGCCTGGGAGTTAGCCATACACTGGCTTCCGGTGTATTTCCTTACCAGACTTTGCTGGATTCTCTCAGGTCTCAGGTTTATCAATCTATAAAGTAGAAACAGCAGAGCATACTTCCTAGATACAAAGCATCATAATACAATTCCATGCTAAAGAATTTCCAAAACTTATATGCAGTTTAAATGTATAGGGTAGCTGCATATATGAACCCATAACAATTGTGACAGCTTGTACAAGGCCTGCACGAGTTCAAGCCGGACCAAATCCCGGCACAGAAAGAGAAGGGACATGGGCACAAAGCCCCATTATTAGCTTAGGAGCCATGGGTAACTAACAACTTCTGGGAAGAAAGTGAGTTTCATTATGAATGTGGCCCCTACTAGGTCTATGTCACTCCAACGGAAAGCCACATGCCCAAGAGTATCTGGGCAGCACAAATTTGTCTTGATGGATTTAAAAGAAAAAAAATGGACACAAAGTTGGATGGGTAGAGAAGGGGGTGGATGTGAAAGGATTGTGGGAAGGAGTTAATATATTCATAGCACACTGTACCAAATTCTCAAGGAAATAATGAAATGAGACAGGAAAAGAACAAAACCAGGGTCTGAAGAGATGCCTCAGTTGGTGAAGTGCTGGTGTGTAGAAGCTTTTAATCTCCAACACCCATGTAAAAAAGCATGGCAGTGTGCCTGTGCAGGGAAGCACAGGAAATGGAATCTCTGGGGCTTGCTGGCCAACCAGTTTAGCCAAATTATGAGCTCCAGGTTCAGTGAGAGACCCTGTCTCAAAAACTAGGAGTACACATAAGGAAGATAGGCAATGCTGACCTCTAACCTCCATTCCCCATGCTCCATATACCCCATGCACCAGTACACCACACCACAACACACACACACACACACACACACACATACACACACACACACACAAATAACTATGGACAGCACATTATTGGTGGCTTGACTCTCAGCTGAGACAGACTAAAAATAGGCCAATGTCATGTTCAGTGGTATGACTATTCATGACAACGACTATAAACATAAATGCACTAAAACTCACCAAAGTTTACCATTCAACTAGCCACTTTTAGGATACATAAATTACAACTCAGTAAGGCTAACTTTTAAAATGAGCTTCCAGAGACATTAGACATTAAAGCTGATGTCTTCAACATGAACCAAATGCTACCGGGTACCAGCTACACTGCAAGTGCTCACCAAGGGACAGGAAGACGTAAGCTGCTAGAGTGGACAGGTGTGGGTAAAGGTGATAGTGAGAGGAAAAAAAATGCAGACTTCAAAACACACATCTTCAACTAAAGACCATTGTGAGGATTAAAAAGGATCAGAGACAGGAGACTGAGGATATAAGAGAATCTTATATTACTTCAAAAACCTAAAGCCCGATCATGACTAGAACTGAACATGATGACCATGTACTGATGATCAAGTTACATCTTTAGGAAATCATGGAGAATCTTTTCTATTCCAGCAGGTAGGCTCAAAATTTCTGCAGCCTTCCTCACTACATATCTCTAAACACTTACTGTAGCCTTATGTACTTTTGGCCACCTGACTCCATGTCATTCTCGAGGTTCATTGTGGCTACACCAGGAGAGGAGGGAAGGGATGCTCCCAAGAGGTGTTCAGTGCAGGTGGATTTGTCTTTCTATTAATACCCAGTGATATAGCCATACTGTATTATCAAAAAACCCTTTGTTACAAATGTAATGTTAGTATCTGTGATCATCATTTACCCCCTTAGTAATAAGTAGCATTTAAAACACATAAGGATGGGGTGGTAGCCATGCCCTCTCACAGGCTGCTGGCCAGCTAGATCAAGTATAAGCAAGCTTTCATTTCTCTACTCCTGACTCACAGTCCACACTCCAAATGAGTGTGGTCATTCCAGAGAAGAACAGTCCCTGACTACACTCAACACCTGGAACTATTACATACACTCAGACCGTGGATCAGTGGTGGCATCACCCACAAGCCCAGCAGCGCTGCCGCGCTCTGCGATGACGGTGCCTGAGTCACGGCAATCTCAAGGCAAAGTTGCTGTATCTCCTCACCTGAAAGAGAAGAAAGGAAAAACAGTATCTGTAACACAGTGCTCAGTTCTTTGTCTCACATTCAGGATTCAGTGTCTGAATCAAGCCCTCCTCTTGGGTCACTTACGCACATAACAGAATCCATCCAACCAAATGGAATATTTTAGACATTCTAGTGAAGAGGCAAAGAATACTCTCAGTCCTAACTCTTGTACACTGCCAAGGGCCTTACACATCCTAGGGAAATCTCTCTGACATTCTAAAGGAATCTGAACACTTGAATAATACTTATGAGAAAACACTAGCTACAAATCATTTAGTGTTCTTCTCAGCACATGTTCAGCACATAGGGGAACTTCTATCTGGTGTACCAGTTAAATGTTTACCAACTTGACACAAACTCAGTTATATGACAAGAGGAAACCCCAAGTGAGAAACTGCCTCTATCAAGCTGGCCTATAGGTAAGTCTGTGGGGGCTCTTCCTTCCTTTCTTCCTTCCTCCCTCCCTTCCTTTCTTCCATTCTTACCTTCTCTCTCTCTCCCTCCCTCCCTCCCTCCCTCCCTTTCATTCTTTTACATTTTTTAACATTTTTTTTACTTTTTGTGCATCTGCATTTTGCCTGCATGTGTGTCTGTGTAAGGAAGGGTATGATATCTCCTGAAACTGGAGTTAGACAGTTGTAAGCTGCCATGTGGTTGCTGGGGATTGAACCCACATCTTCTGGAAGAACAGCCAGTGCTCTTGAGCGCTGAGCCATCTCTCCTGCACCTGGGGTGTCATTTTCTTTTTCCCAGCACTGAGACTACAGACATGCATCACTGGACCACTATCATGGTTTGTATATACTTGACCCAGGGAGTGGCAAGATTCGAAGGTGTGGCCCTGTTGGAGTAGTTATATCACTGTGGGTGTGGGCTTTAAGATCCTCATCCTGGCTGCCTGACAGTCAGTATTCTGCTAGCAGCCTTCAGATGAAGATGTAGAACTCTCAGCAACTTCTGTACCATGCCTGCCTGGATGCTGCCATGTTCCTGACTTGATAACAGACTGAACCTCTAAACCTGTAAGCCAGCCCCAATTAAACATTGTCCTTTATAAGAGTTGCCTTGGTCATGTTGATGGTTTATAGCAGTAAAACCCTAACTAAGGCAACTGTGCTTGCTTGCTCATTTGTTTTATCTATCTATCTATCTATCTATCTATCTATCTATCTATCTATCTACCTACCTACCTATCTATCTATCTATCTATCTATCTATCTATCTATCTATCTATCTATTTTTGTCACAGGTACAGGGGATCTAACTGAGGTCCGCAAGGTTGCATAGTAAACCTTTTACTGACTAAATCATCTCCCTGGTTCCTCATAAGTTGTTTTTTTGAGAGCTATACAGTCTCAGAACTATACATACATACATAGACTATAAAGTCTATGTCTTTCACCTATTTCTCCTCACCCCACCCTCCCCTATAAGGACTCGGTGAAACTCAGTTATCGAATGCAAGATAACCATTCACAATAAATCTACCAGTCACTGTCAACTGTGACACAAAATCTTTTTTTTTTTTAAATTCAGGCCAAATCCTAAGGGCATAGCCTGAAATCCCAAAAAACACTTGATATTTACCAAAGTTTAGCCTCATAAGTGGAGAGAGGAGTGCGGCCAAGTTTGCAGGAGGGTACTGGTAGCTTTCCCCAACAGTTGCTATGGGTTTCATCACTACTCTGAGAAGAGATGGAGACACAGCTTCAGGACCTACAACAGCAAAGCAAAGAGTTAGCGAATCATCTGCGTGGCTGCAACAACTGAAAGCAGCCAAAGTCTAATGCCATATCTTTAGTTACAATCAGTCTTCCAATGCTACAATTTGAATCCAACTCGTTTTGCTACAAACCTTGTTCCCCTGTTCTCAGATATTATCTCCAATCTTCTCCTTTGACATACCCTAGACATCTTTACTATCTTCTACATTTCCATGTCTCTTTGTCTACTTTTTAAAAGAATAGCCTAGTCTTCATTATTGTCCCATTGTTCTTGGTATGGAATTTAATGCACTTACAGCAGGATAGACAAGGGCTGCCCACTCAGCACCTTAGACGAGCTATTGAATAATAGTCCACCTATGATGGCTCTAAAGCATCACACCTATCACCTACTACTTGTTTGTGTTTTAGAAACAAACTAACAAACAAACCAATAGAAAAAACCTTCTTTTGCTCCTAAGCTATTGCCTGCCCTAGAGGTGAGCACCAAGGGAGAAATAGCTATTCCATACGGTAATCACTTTAATATTGGTCATCATGTTGGGAGGGAGGTACTTAAACCTGAGATGCTAGAGTATTAACATGTAGATGTAAAAGGCAGGAACAACCATGAAAATGGGCAGGTAAAAGTAATGCTATATAGAACACAGAAAAATGAAGAAATACAGAAAATGTAGATACAGAAATATGTAGACAACAAGACGAAACAGTGGCAAAAATCATCAGCAAAAGGAAAACCACCATCAGCAGAAAGAGAAGCCAGGGGAAAACTAGAAACTACATCAGCAAAAAAGCCACAGGATCAGCATCTGGGAGGGGCTGCAGAGGTGAGAGAGCTGATATGTGGGAAAAACTGAAAACAGAGAAGCTCAAGAAACGGGAAAAGCAAAGGCAAATTCACTAGACCACAAGTGCTGTCAGAGTCAGTGATGGTCACACAGTCCCAGAATGGAGAAGCTCAGAGAGGGGGAGAAGCAGAATGAGACCAACAAAAGCCAATGAGTCAATGGAGAGAAAGAAAGCAGAAGTGAGAGTGTGTAAGTCAGACAAAAAACAGCTGCATAAAGGAGAAACTGGGGGGTTAGGAGAAGCAGGGGATTGGGAGGGAAAACATGACTTTATGACTGATAGCAAGAATGGAGGCAGAGGAACATCATAGCACTAAAAGGAGAAGCTGAGAAGAAAGGAGAAGTAAGGAACCAAGAGGGGAAAACCAACCCTATGACCAGTAGCAAGGGTGAAGGCAGAGCTACATCACATCACAGAAAGAAGAAGCTGGGGGGAAAGGAGAAGCAGAAAACCAAGAGGGGGAAACCAACCTTGTGACTGGTAGCAAGGGTGAAGGAAGAGCTACATTACAACATAAAGGAGAAACTTGAGGGAAAGGAGAAGCTGAGTGGAAAGGAGAAGTAAGGAACCAAGAGGGGAAAACCAACCCTATGACTAGTAGCAAGGGCAAAGGCAGAGCTACGTCACATCACAGAAAGGAGAAACTGGGGGGAAAGGAGAAGCAGAAAACCAGGAGGGGAAAACCAACCTTGTGACTGGTAGCAAGGGTGAAGGCAGAGCTGTAGCACAATACAGAAAGGAGAAGCTGAGGGGAAATGAGAAACGGAACCAGGAGGGAAAAAAACCAACCTTGTGACTGGTAGCAAGGGTGAAGGAAGAGCTACATCACAACACAGAAAGAAGTAACTGGGGGGGGGGAGAGAAGCTGAGGGGAAATGAGAAGCTGAGAGGAAAGGAGAAGCAGGGAACCAGGAGGGGAAAACCAAACTTGTGACTGGTAGCAAGGGTGAAGGCAGAGCTATAGCACAATACAGAAAGGAGAAGCTGAGGGGAAATGAGAAGCAGGGAACCAGGAGGGAAAAACCAAACTTGTGACTGGTAGCAAGGGTGAAGGGAGAGCTACATCACAACACAGAAAGGAGTAACTGGGGGGAGGAGAAGCTGAGGGGAAATGAGAAGCTGGGAGAAAAGGAGAAGCAGGGAACCAGGAGGGAAAAACCAACCTAGTGACTGGTAGTAAGGGTAAAGGCAGAGCTACATCACAGCACAGAAAAGAGAAACTGGGGGTAGGGGGTGAGTGGAAAAGAAGCAGGGAACCAGGAGGGGAAGACCAACCTTGTGAAAGGGTTTAGCAAGGGTGAACTACAGAAAGGAGAAGCTTAGGAGAAAGGAGAATTGAGAGTGGACGGGGAGAAAAGCAGAGGGACAGGAGAAAAAGAATACAAACCACAGATATAGAGGAAAAGCAAGAAGCGGAGGTTGGAGTCAAAAAGGAGAACTAAGCTCAGACAGCGGCATAGTTCTGGAGGCTGAAAAGACTAAGAGGGTGGTGCCATCATCTGGTGAAGACCGTTATGCTGCATTATAACAGGACGGAGGGCATCACGTGACTAGACAGCGAGCTTGCCGAGGCTGCTCAGCTGTATAACACACAGTTTCAGTATCCCAGTGATGACTGTCCAAAATAATTAAAAATAAGCATTCAAATAAAAACTGCAAATATATAGCAAGTTCTGTACTCTTCCAATTACAAGTATATCATGGGGCCTGGAAGATGGATCAACAGATAAGGGCACTTGTTGCCAAGCTTGATGACTTGACTTCAGATTCCTGCAACCCACGTGAAAGCAAGATGGACGGATGTATCTAGTATGTATTTATAATCCCAGCACACCTACTACAAAATAGGAGGTGGAGTCAGGAGCATTCCCCTGGAAGCTCATAGGCCAGGTAGCCTGGGGTGCACAAACTGCAGTATATCAGAGAGACTCTGACCCCCAAGGTTATTCTCTGACTTCTACACAGTTGCTATAGCATATGCAGGCCCTCACACAAACACAGACATCATACACACACATAGACAAATATAAATAAATGAATAAAGGAAGGAAGAAAGAAAGGAAGGAAGGAAGGAAGGAAGGAAGGAAGGAAGGAAGGAAGGAAGAAAGGAAGGAAGGAAGAAAGGAGGCAGCTTTACATTCAGGTTTTCAAACATCTGGATCTTTTGACAAGTACCCATAGGCACTTCATGTTTTCATTCTTGAAATAACTGCTTATGAAAATAAGCTTTCGTGTTCATCTCTGGCTGAATCTGTATAAGCTCATCTATGCTCAGAGTTTCAAATACAAATTCTAAGTTGACAATACAAATCTCTACCTATCTCCAATCCAGAATTTAGCCTTATGTTTCTCACTTTCATTCCCACTAGAACAGCTAACAAATCAACAAGGTTTTCTAAGCCTAGCTACCCACTAAACTACTTCCTGACCATTGGCTGCTTTCTTCCAGATAGAACTAGTAGTATGCCTTGCAAGGTTTCACTTTTAACACCCTCTTTTCCAGCTAAAAATGTTAACTGTCAATGCTTCCTCCATTCATATATCTGTGCTATAATATCACAGCGTAGCTGTGCACCTAGTAGCTGATACTTTATTTCTATCTCACCTAAAGATATAATACTGGGACCCTCATAAGTCTTATGAGGAGCATAACTATTGTTTCTAGAAGACTTTCTGGCAACGAAAATAGAGACATTTTATAAACATGTGCACTCAAGTGTTTACTGTGTATTATATATTGAAGACTTTTCTAGCAACAGACACAGAATTGAACAAGACAAAATAGGGATTATGCTCATGGAACTTATTTTTCTTATGAGCAGACAAAAAAGAAAAAAAAAGTGAAAACAGGTGTGATGATAACTGGCTGAAGCAGGTTATCTCAAAACTGGTTAGCTTTGCACATAGTCCATATTGGTAACACATTTGTGGTAAGAATCCCTAACAATTGTGGAGATAGATTAAGTCTGATTTCATACAACAAAGAGTAATTTGCTTCTCAAGCCATTACTGTATTTTTAATTATGTGTGACTATGGGTGGGTAAGTGCATATACATGAATACAGGTGACCTTGAAGACCGGAGGTGTTGGGTCCTCTTGGAGCTTGAGTTACAGGTATTGGAGCCACCTGATGTGGGTGCTGTGAATTAAACCTGGGTCCTCCCAAGGGTACCCAGAGGTCATAACCACTGAGCAATCTCTTTAGCCTCTAATTTGCTTTGTAAAGGTCCTTTTGGTACACATTGATAGCAATGTCCTGACATACATTGCAAATCTGTACTGGAAGTCTTTAATTCACAAGCAGATGTCTATTTTGGGGTCTCGGTATTTTTTGTCAGATACTTTTGAAATTACATAGCTTGTATTCCAAGTCCTCCAATAGAACGCATTATGAAAAATGTGTAGTTTCCAAAAGACTTAAGGAGCCTGAAGAATGGATTCAACTTTTTCTGTCATACAAGGATCCTATGAGAAATATGAGCATTGTTTATGTTTTACTGCTGAGACAGTGAGCTCGCCTCTGATGGGATGAACTTCACTATTAACTATATTCTACATAGATATTGCTCCAACACTGACTGCTCTGTATGCCCTGGCACTGTCGGCCCTGTGTGTGCATGTTACTCCAGTCTTCATTAGTTGACCTGATATGCTGGCAAGGTTCAGAAACAGCCTGAAAAATGGAGTACAGGGCTGAAAGTCAGCCTCTGTATGCCTCTGATACAGTGCAGTAAGTCTTTCACAGTTAAAAGGGCAGAGCATCAGTACTGAGAAGCATGATGAGAATCACACAAAAATTTCTTCTATGTTTGGAAGGAACCATTCTGACAGGCCATGGGGATGATAGAAACTAGAATAATAATGAGGAATGAGAGAATATTTGGCAGTTACATGCATCAGGGGAGGAGGGTAAGAAAGAGAAAGCCCAAAGCATCTCTGAAGCACAGGATCCTGGTTCCCACCATAGAGCTCTTCTATGTGGAACAGAAGAACATAAACGACGGAGATCATCAGGTTCTTCACTTCAATGTTTTGTCCTTCAAATAAGTGCCAATGGTAAAATGGCATGTCCACTGTAATGTCCCAAATAATGAACTTGAAACTGAGTGCCTATGGGTACTTGTCAAAAAGATCCAGATGTC